CCAGCGTTCTAGTTGGCAGGGCTAGGGCTAGCTGCTTGAAGCCTGTGAATCCTATGATTGGCAGCCCTTTGATGGCTGGTGTTTCAAGGACCCCAAGAGAAAACCAAAGCATTTGGAAGATTAATTGAATTTGAGAACCCCCTCCTAAATCTAGGTCCCCCAGTAGTGCCCTTTTACCCCTATTTTTGGAGGAGGGTTCCCCTACTAAAATAGACTACAGAAAAAAGGGCACCCTTATTCTAACCTCCCTACGGGAGGGCCTAGTAAATAGTTTGAAGAGTTCGGTTGTCCATTGTTGCTTGCTTCCGCAAGCTTTGGTGTTCTTCTTGCGTCTTCGCATTGGCCCTTTGATTTCGCTTGCAGTCAGTTTTGCGCAGTTTCTTCGCCGGATCTAGACATGGTTTGGGTCCGCACTCAATTTGACCAACACCGCCGCAACAAGCGGCACCATTGCAAGTGGGAGATGCATCCCCGCTTGGCTCATCTTGTTGCTCAACTTGCATGCAATGGTGTTCTTTTAGGTTGGTTTCGTTAGAAATAGATGCGTTCTGGCTTAGATGCGTTTTGTTCCATTTACCATGGCCATCTATTTGTTCAAAAGGTCACCCAATGCTTTCATGTTGCCCATCCCCCAACTGGAAAGGTTGATGTTGCTAACTACTTTGCAAGGACCAAGACCCAGCAGACGGGTTCAGTAAGAAGTACTTGCCCACATCACAGAAACAACCGAAATGCGGCCTGATGTGGAACGCAACCGAAGGTTGGCCTCGTACAGAAGACATGCATAGCTGTTTGTTGTATTATCCTGCTGTGTTTTAGGGCGCCTGGCTGGTTGATTTGGCATGGTGAGTTGTACCAAAGCTGCTTTTAAGGGCACCATGGATCAAAGTTGTGTGTCTCCAAGAGGGAGGTCACAAATCCGTGGCTTCCGTTTGGCGTTCCAAGCCAACCAAAAAGGGTGTGCCACAGGCATCGCGGCACCACACCGATATACCTGCATCATGCTGAGCTTTCCGCCTCTAAGTTCTTAGCCTGAGGAAAGGCGATATACTCGGGTTCTTTGGGGGTGAATCGCCCAGCCCACAGAAAATCGAGTGCTCAGACTCTGCCTCATTTGTAGTCCGCCCCCAACACTCACTGGCTCAAAGTCGACCGTTTCACCTTTTGGCTTCACTGATTTGGTTCGTTTTTAGTAGCAGCACCAAATCCTTTCATTTCTGGGTGCTTTGGGCACCCGAGGAAAATATGAAATGACTGCCTCTGAATATCCCCCAGCAGGGTTGCGGTATCAAGGGTTTTTGCCCAGTGATACAAGGAATCTCCTCGTGAATGTGGGGGGGGGGGTTAGTCTTTGGCAAGCATCGCAGCAGTGGATTCCATTTCCCACAGGCCTGTCCCTCAGATATCGCAGATACACCATAGATTGAGCTTCACCGGCATCGATTTCCGCCTCGGCATCCGCCAAATGGCTGTGGGTCAAAAAATGTACCCAAAATGGAAACATGGACTAAAACCTGCGGTCCCCTGGTGGTTTATGTTTGACTCATACCCAAATCAATGAGGAGGTGATGCAGCAGGAGGAGCCGGAGCAGCACGTCAGCGTGTCCCAGAACTACCCCGCGCAGACCCCGGCGGACGGCTGACTTCGAAGCCGAACACTTCGACATGGCTCGATCCGTTTTTTTTTCCATGGCCAGACCTGGCTTTTATGGTTCTTGTTAGCGGGGTTCCTTCAGGTTCCCCTTTTGTCCCGCAAAGAAGTTCTGTTGGTTTATGCTTTGCTCAGGGAGGGTTTAGGCTGAGGGTGGGGTGGGTCTAGGGCGGGCTTTGGGTGGGTTAAGGATCAGGTTAGCAAGGTTGGGTTTAGCATTGGTTGGGGGCGGGTTTAGAGTTTAGGGCGGGTTTTGCGTGGCGCTATGGCCTGTCTAAACTAAATCCACAAAGGCCGGTGAAGCCAGAAGTGAACCCACAAGCCCCTGTTTAAGCCAAGCAACCCAAACCAGAAGTCTTGCCAAGGGTTAGTAATGTGACCCCCCCGCCTTGGAACAGCGGGAACAGTCGCGTGGGCGGGGGAGGGGGGGCTATCTTGAGTGGAAAAAGGAGGGTCTGGGTAAAACTTTAACTTGCTGGTACTTACTTTATTATGGCCTAGTCCAAATTTGACATTGCCAGGACTTGCTCTTAGATTCCTAGTAATCCCTTCCCCCTAATGCTAAACAGGCCCCCCCTAATGCTAAGTGGGCCCCCCCGAAAGAAACAAAGAAAACTAAAACAAGTTTTAGCATTTGGGGTCCCCGGTTCGTTCTTGTTTCGCAGAGCGCTTGATTCCCCGCAGCCAGCAAGCCAGCAAGCCTCCTGCAAGACCGGAGCTCCGGCGCGAAAGTCGCAACTTTGTAGTACAACCGTAGTAAAGAAAACGTACTCCAGGAGCTCCTGCGCGAACGTCGCAACTTTGCAGTACAACCGTAGTAGCGAAAACGTACTCCCGGAGCTCCGGCGCGAAAGTCGCAACTTTGCAGTCAAACCGTAGTAACGAAAACGCACTTCCGGAGCTCCGGCGCGAAAGTCGCAACTTTGTAGTGCAACCGTAGTCTGGCGCGAAAGTTTCAGGGTGGCAGGCCAAGCAGGGAGACCCCAATACTAAGAACCGCAGACCCTAATACTAAAACCCTCCAGCACAAGGCGGAATCCTCTTTGTTTCGTTTCTTAAGGTGCAAGAAGGGATCCCTAATAGGGCTGGATTTGGGCACGGGCTTGAAAATGCCTGCTTTAGAATTGGTTTAGTATTGGCTACTCTGAAAGTAGCATTCCAGGATTTTAGATTCTGAAAAATCGGTTGTAGTATTAGGGGACTGTTTAGCATTAGGAAGAAGGGATTACTTAGTCTAGTATTGCCTACTCTAAATTTCTGTCGTATTGCCTAGTCGAAATTTAGTATTTCCACGACTTACTCTCAGATTTCCCGTGCTTACTTTGGTGTTGCCTGGTCTAAATTTAGTTTTGCCAGGACTTTACTCTGAGATTCCCAGTGCTATATTCAGTACTGTCAGATATTACCCACCCCCAAGAGCTTGACATTAAGGAGCCCCCCCAAGGAGTCATATCAAACAGGATCACTGGCTCCCGTGGGCACCCTTTGTGCGTATGAAGAAGTGGTCTCAAATTTGATGGTTCGGGGACCACTTGCAAGATTCAGCTTCCTAGATCTAACTATCCCCTTTGGCCTTGACAGTCAAGACGACTCCAGAACAGGCTCCCGAGCACCCCCCCTGTGAGCGACTGTTTTTGTTTTTTTTTGTGAAAGAACTTATCTTAAATCTGATCGTTTGGGGACCGCTTGCAAAACTGAGTTCCCTAGATCTAAGAACTGGAGCCTTTGAGCTGGGAAGGGCTTAAAACCACCGTTTAAATGTAAAAGGCCAAGGCATTGAACAAACATATTTGTATTTTGCCCGGAATTTTATCTTGTGACTTGTTTTCTCTTTTTTCGGGGAGCAACTCTATCATTGATCACCCAAAAGCGGTGGCAGGATCTTGAGTTAGGAAAACCATCGCAAAATAGAAACCCCATTTACTAAAGAAGGCCCAACCTTCTTGGCTAGAAGCAACAAGGCGTAAGCTTTCCAAACCCTGGGTTTTGAATTAAGGAAGGTCCGGACGTTTCTACAACATGTCATGAGCAGGGCTTGCCATGTTCCCCCCCTTTGCGTGCCGTTGCGGTACCTGCCCCATACATGGCTTCTGTGCGCCCCTGACACGGCCCCTCCCAAAACCCAAAAAAACAACATAAGATTCGGGCCCGCTGCTCCCCTGGGTGTTTGCTTTTGCTGGGCAGGAACGTGTTCCAGTCAAGTCGGCGGGCGCGTTTGCGCAACCGCGCCAAGAACGCTCCGATCACCAGACTGCCGTAGGAGGGTGGGTGGACCAACACCAACTGGGAGGGTGCTGGCACGGGGGGCAACTGGGACGACATGACCCACGGCGACACCTGGGATGCTGCACCAGCGGCCCGAGGCGGGATCATCTGGATTTCTGACAGCCAGTGTCTGAAGAGAGGTTCCTCCACAAATGGGCTGACTGTGGAGTGTATAGCTTCCCTTAGGTATGGGCCATGTCTGAAACATGGCGGGGTCAGCTAGCCATGTTCAGGGCCCACGGGAACTTTGGCCTTTTTCGCTGTCAGCTTTGAGGGGTTTCCATTGGGTAAGCTCGTTTCGGCGCTGCTGTTTCGATGACCAGGCGATGATTGGAGCGCCCCCGCCACCGCGGCCCCCGCGACTTCAGGATGGTGACATTGCCAGCACTCAGCTGGCCTTTCTAACCTTTTGCCATTGCGTTTTGTTCGTCATCTTCCCTTACAAAAAGGATCAAAAAGGTCCCTAGGACCCTTGCGTAGGATACATGTGGGCCCTTGTCCCAGTTGATTTCGAGCATCCCCCTAGATTTGTTTGGCCAAGGTGAGCGGCGAGGGCAGCGATTTGAGCGAGCGACGTGGCAGAGGGCAGTGGCCGGAGGTCGAAAAAAGGATCCAAGAGCGCTGGCGGACGCAGCTGCATCACAAAAGGGTTAGTTGCAAAGTTGGCTTCTCCAACGAGACTTTGGTGCCTTCAAAGGGGAACTCCAAGGAGGATGTGAAGAAACAGGAGCGGTTTTTCATCATGCTGAAACAAGCGGGCAGCGCAACCACTGGCATCCCTTAAAAACCAGCTACCAAGCACAAGGTGTTTTTTTTGCCACGACCTTTCTGGGCTTATTCCACGATAAGGATGCTTCTCCTGCCAATCTTCGCTGCAAGCAGGCGGCAGTTTGTTCAACATGTGGGTATGGGTCAAAATAAACCCACCAGGTGACCGCAGGTTTTAGTCTTTGGTTCCATTTTTCAGGGTGCCATTTTGGGTACGCATTTTTGACCCACAGCCATGTGCAGTTTTTTTGGCCCGCAGACGCGTTGGTTTTCTTTTGTTTTGCCTCTGAACGCCCAATGCGCATCCCGTAATGAGGTACTCATCTCCATCTTCGTCGGCATTTCCAAGGCGCAGGCACGCGCGCGGGCGGAAGGGATGTGGGCCTGGAAACGGATCCCCATCCATTGAAAAAGGGGTCGACCCCCTGGAGTGCCCCAGTTCAGTTTCAGTGACCCTCATGTTTGGCAAAGTTCCATTTGGCGACCCAAGAAAACCTCACATTGGAAGCCAGGCTTCTGGCTCCCTTATCATATTGCCAGCAAACGAAGCTCTCCATCAGGGGGCCCGGACTTGAAGTCCCACAGCTTTCCATTTTCCCGGCGTCCTGCTGCAAGGTCCCTCAAAAAGTAGATGTGGGACAGATGGCGGATGTAGAGGATCTCCTTGTGAGTCATGTGTTTTCTTTGTATCTGTTCAAGAACATGTTCGCGTAAGTGTGTTTGCTGTGCCTTGATTCTGATTTGCATGGACCTGTGGAACAAACAGCGAACGCTTGGAGGATGCACGTGGGCGTCCTCTGGAAGCTCAGCTACGGGTAAAGTAAAGGCAAAGTCCAAAAAGAACAAGTTGTTTTTTATTAAACAACCTGGTTATCTTAGCAGTTATAGGTCGTAAAGTGCGTAGGTCCCAATAGGTGATCCACTTTTTTCAGAGCCTCAGGGCACCGTGGCTGCGGTGAAGATGCGCGCAGCTCTGCAGATGTGCCGTGGCGGAATCGCAAGGCAGGTGGCCAACAGCGGGTTCACAGGGATGGGGCATCCACCTCGCAACAAGGATCCTTGAAATTGTAATGATTCCTGTAAGGGAACCGAGACCCAATCGACTACAGAGGAGTTTTGACCCTGGCTTAGACGACGATTTGGGCTTCTGTTCGTCTTCCTTTCGAGCTGTGGAAAACCAAGCTGTTGCCACCATACCCAATGCTTGCATGCTTAAGCGTGAGGGGGAAAGCAATGAGGCAGTCGACCAACATTTTGGACCTGTCGCGCTGGTTGCTTGGACCCAGAAACTTTCAATCCGGTTTGGAGTGCACCTGGAACAGGGTCATCTGAAGGTTTTCCAATCAATGAACAGGGGTAATCCCCAAGTTGGTTCAGTAGCAAACCAATCAGCTGGCGCATGCTGCGTTTTCATGGAAGGCCCCACTGCGCAGCTCTGGAACAGCCGAGTAGGCGCCTGCTTCGGGTGCGTTGGTCTGAGGCTGGTCTTCGAGCACAGCCAGCGCTTGGCGGTCGATCAGCTGGGGCAAAAGCACAACCCCAGCAACCTCATGACCGTAGACGCGGACGCCCGGATGAGGTTTCATGAGCTTCCCAGCCCTCGCCACGGTCGGTCCTTCTTGCCTTTTCAACCACTTGTTCCAAGCACCGGCTGTTTTCCCAGGGTGTTGGTGGTTTTTTGCTGCCCCAAGGAGTTTCCACTCGTTTTAGGCCTGGTAGAAGCTGCATATGTGTGGATTGTGGAGGACAGGTGCTTGTGCGGGTTACTTTTGGGCTCCAGCTCTTCGTTTCAACACTCCAAGGCTCCCTCTCCCATTCCCACATTCCCAGTTCGGTGGCAACCCCCCTTCTTGGTCGCCCGGAAACAGGGGCGCTCCGAGCCTTCCAAACCGCAACGCTAGACATTCTGTTTCATTTCCCTTGGCTTCCCATTGCCAGGGGCCAAATTGCCACCCTTACGATTGGGTTTTTGGAGCAACCCTGAAATAGCGGTCCTTTCGTGTGTTTGTGCGGTTTTGAGGGTGCCCTTTGCGGTGCTTTGCTTACGGGAAACCAAAGGACCCCCCCCCCCCCACACCCCCCACCCCCCACCTTCCCATGTTGGGGGGTCCCCCTATTTTGGCACATTTCCATTTTGAGGAGCGGCCACACATGGTCTTCGCCATCTTGATGCCGCACTCCTTTGTGCTAGTGCCTCTCAGAAACTGTGGCTTCACTGATTCACTGTGGTTTTTTGGAGCAAATGACCACGCAACCCTAGAAAAAGATGCCCCAGAAAACATAGGTGTCCTTTTTGGAGCCTGGTTAAAAATAGATGGCCCTGGTTTAGATGGGGTTTGTTCCATTTACCAGGGCCATCTATTTTTCCAAAGGGCCACCTATGCCAGAAAAAAGAGTGGCTTGTGGGGTGGACCAGAGAAAGAGATGACGGCATCCGCCAAGGACAGTGGCTCTTGGGGTTCCACGTTAGAGGATCCAGCGCAGTCTTCTCTATGGCGCAGTGTCATTTAATCATTAAGCCAAGGGCCAACAGCTTGGCTCATGCCTGACGGGGCTCACGAAGTCCAAAATCATGTGGTCAGGTTTCGAAAAACACGAAACTTGACGGTTCTAAAAGGACACTCTGTCAGGTGAGCCAGGTCGCATAATTTTTGTTGGTCTTGTCTCACTCTAGTTGTTTTCTCCCACGTATGGCTGAGTCAGACATGTGAGCCATGATCAACCATTCATTATTCGTTCTATGAATGGGGGAGGGGTTGGCCTCTTCGCCACAAACTCGCGAGAGGCTCCCTGAAAATTGTGGTGTCTGTTTGTTCTTTGCACCAGCAACAAACTTTTTTTTCTTAGGGTACCGGTACCGCAAGAAAAAAAGACACACCTGCCGCCGGTTTCTAGGAGTTTAATGTTGAAAAATCCGGAGGCTGAGTTTTGCCCAGAGGGCTCCAGTCGCTATGAATCACAATTGGTGTTCACCCATGAATCACGGTCCTTTGGTCGTGGTTTGCGACAAAAAGGGGGAGTTATAGACGTGCCAGTAAAACCAGTGAGGAGCCCACAGGGCGACCTGTGGCGAATCGATTCGCAGAGCTGCAAAGCAGAGGGCAGCGACTCGAGACTCGCGGGTTTCGACCACGCGAGGTGCTGGTGCTCCCGGTTCTGTTGATCACACAGGTGGGGGTGGCCCCGCGGCAGCATTCGCATCGGCGAGCTATTCGTTCCCGTTCGGCTGGGGCTTCTCGTACTGTACCTTTCATGAGGTTGCCCCAAGGCCACCCAGAACGGGGGCTAGGTCCCCCAGTACTGCCCTTGAACCCTTTTTTGGGGGAGGGTTCCCTCACTAGAATAGACCACAGAAAAAGGGTACCCTTATTTGGAGGACCTAGTTTGTATGGAGCACAACCTCAAAAAGAGGTTCCAAGGTAACAAGAAACATGGTTACCCACCTCAAATTCTCAACGTGGACATGAGAGTTGCTTTTGCCGGCGGCCCCGCAGCTCCAGTAACAAGCTTCAAGTGCAAAGCCAGGCTTTGGGGGGCCTGGCGTGGAAGGGGAACCCAAGACACTTGCGGCTGGTGAAAGGGATCCCATCCAGAGGCAAGCCTTTCATCCACCAGTCCATCCAGGCAATTGAATCTATTCTATCCACCCATTCATGCCATCTAATACTGCATAGAGCACCCTCCAGATGAGATATTCGAAAAAATCGGTGCCAGCGTTCGGTCCGTTCTCTCCCGAGTTTAAATGTAGTGGCATGGCACCAACGCTTGGGTGTGGCTCATACTTGGTAGTTTTTCCGTCAGAGACTCCGTGGCAGCGTGTAAGCAAGGGAACGAGCTAACAAGCGGGCCCTGACTTTAGCCCTATGTACAGGAGCGGTCTAGGGTCAACCTTCTTCCTTCCTCACACGTCGCTTGTTTCGCAATTGGTTGCTGAAAGGCGCTTCCTTTTTGAGTCGGAAGGCCTCTGTGAGTTTGGAAGACATTGAAGCTTGTTGGAACTTGTTGCTTGCAGATGTCGTCATGTTTAGACCTTGGGGGGCAAGTGAAGAGGTCCCGTGGCCAGTCTAGTCAGGTTTCCCTGACGGGGCAGTACTTAGCATTTGGCTTGAAACCAAAACGCACAATCGCCATGTAATGCATGTAAGTCCTGATGACTATCCCGCCCCCTATTTGGGGACCCGTCGTCCCAAAAAAGAGATCCTTGCGGAAGACTAGCATAGACCAACACTGGGACCAGCGTGTTTACTGTTTGCGGTTGTCTTGCAGGGGGGTGCGGTGGGGGGAAGGGTAGCTTTGTGATGCTTGCCCTCAAACATGGAAGTACACAGACCTTTGGAACACTACTTGTAAAGGAAAGGGCCTCACCAATCCATGTTGGGAGGGTGCCACTTGACTGGGTTCAGGATTTCGCCCCTTTTTCACACAGCGGCCCCGATATTTCTTTATTTTTTTGTATAACATCAACTTCTTGGCCCATTTAAGGTGAGTCTCCCTTGACAGGGGCGATGTTTTTGTGGTAAGTATAGGAAAGCCTAGTATAGGGAAGCCTTATCCCCTGCTTCGGGATCAGGATGTCGCCACATTTTCCAGTCATTTGGCTGTGGCTCAAAACCCATGGTACCATTTTGGGGTAGGTGCACCGCCCATTTTAGTCTATTTTAGTGGGGATTTGGATTTTGACTGGGGGTGCGGGATTTTGACCCCCATGGCCATTTTCCCATGGATCATCAGATTGGCCCCGCTAACATCCGCTCGAGGTGCCAGCCGCCGCCTGTTTGCTGAGCTGCGTGGGAGCTTTGGCAGAGCGATGTTGGTGTGGCTGGGTGGGGGTGTTTTGTTTCGGTTATTGCGGTGTGAAAAATGGAGGCTTCTAAATAAGCCCAGGTCAGGTGTATCGGGACCCAATAGCCCCAAAACCGAACCCTCCTTTTAACGTTTGAAGCCTCCTTTTGAACCTGAAAGCTGCCCCAAACCACCCCAAACCCTTTTTGGGCAGAGACCCCCTTGCTTTCAGCTGTTGGAGGCAAAATGGGGGATCCCTTTTTTGGCGGGTGAGGCGTCACCTTGAAAGGCGTATGGGGATGCTGCTTGCCCCGGAATTTGCGGCCTGAGGAACCTTGATTTGTTCCGTGCTGGTGGGCGGGCACACGGTGACGCTGCGGCGCAGGGGGGCCAAGAGAGGGCGGCAAGAAGCCCAGCGAAACGCCTCCTTAGAGGCGGTGGGAGAAACCTTCTAAGATGGTGTCCACTACCCTCAAGGCCACTCTTTTTTTCTTCTTCTGTGTGTGTGTGTGTGTATTTAGTTGGGTGTACCCTTGTTAGGGGCAGATTGCCTTCCATTGTTGGGGTTCATGTGCATTGGGACGGCCACGTGACCAAGGGGCAATGTTGCTCGCTCTCATGCAACATTGGGCCTTCAGCCCACTGATTTCGGACTATGTGCACGCCCCAAAGCAGGTTCTACAATTCGACACCCTTATCGGAAAAACGGCGCCTAGTTTCACATCACCAAGGTACACAAAACAAAGCACTACACATGCTGCTAGTTGCGCATTTAGATATTACGGAGACGCCCTCCCCGCCAAGCAAAGTGTGATAGGCAGCAGCCAACAGTTCAAGTGATGCAAAGTAGCCCATCTGATTCACCCCTGAAGATATTTCAGAGAGATAAATTCCACAAATGTTAGGGGCCCAAAAGGGCAGGGGTGAGTCAGCACTGGTCAAGTTTTCGAAATCCCCAAAAAGGAAAGCGGACCCCCGGACCTGCTGGGGTTCGTGAGGCGCAGCCCTGCAAGAATCGGACCGGCGCTTGCACCTCGTGGAGCAGTACTTGGATGGAATTCGAGTACTGCGCTGGCCTCAGTCGATGGGCAGTGAGTGAGTTGCATGGGTCCCTAGCGCTTGAATCCCTGAATCGCATTTGGCCCACTTTGCATCTCAGCTATCCCTCCCAACAATCATGAAAGTGGACAGGGGGCCTCCCCAAAAGGAAAGTCGTCTTGCAAAACCTTTCTGTCAACTTCCAGATTCGATGGTCCATGTTTGCTGGAAGGAGGGTATTCATCGTATTCATGGTCAGGGAGTGGTTGTAGACGAACCTTTGGCAACTTAATCAAGGGCTGGCGATGGGACATGGACATGGAACCGCTGCTCCCCGTGTGCGACCAAGGAAGATGACCCGGCCTCAGTTGTGGCAATTGTGAGCAGAGTGAGCGGCTGGAGGTCGAGTGTGGTGAGAACTCGATTTTGGAACTTGCCTGCTGGTCACTGCACATTGTTGGCCCTGCCCCATTCGCAAGGGAACTTGCACTTTTGGAGTCTAGTTGCCCTTGCAAGCCCTCCTTTTTCAAGGGCTTCCACCTCCAACTGCTTGGTCTTATGTCCCAAAGCCCAGTGCTGTCGTTGGGTTCTCGGCTGCTCGGTTCCCCGCGCGGGGGGAACCGGGGAACCCCCTGAGGAACGGCTGGGCAGAGGCGGCGGAGGAGCGGCTGAGGTCGGTCAGGGCCCAGGAGCTGCGGCTGCAGCGCAAGGCCATGATGTGGAAGCTGGCGCCTGGTCCAAGCAGGTCATCCCAAGGCAAAAACCAAGAAGTCGGCCCAAGAAAGGCCAATGTCTCAAGGCAAAACCCAGAAATTGGCCAAAGAGGATCTATGGGGGAACTGAACTGCAACTTTCCTCTTCTTGGGTTCCCTTTCTTCGTCTCGGAAGGTTTGGCCGTTGATGTCTGGGTCCAAACTGTGCAACTGAGGCGTTTGCCTTTGAGCAACTACAATACCAGCTACGTCAGTGTTTGCCTAAGGGGGCACATTAATGTCACCCGAAAGGGCAACGGTAGGTTGAATCTGGCCATTAAGCGCGCAAATATAATTGTAATGGGCTTGTGGGGTGTATGGAGCTATTTATGCATCATCCTAGCGCCGAAACATGGAACTTCATTTGGCTTTGTATCACAGGGGTCTGTCATTTGTCTTTGTTTGACCTCCAAACGTTGGGTTTTGAATGGAGCCTACCAGTCAATGGCCCCTGTTGAATGCAATGTCTCCCGAGCGAAGCCAGCAGCCGAGGATGTGCTCATAGGCTCGATGCCCACAACTCACGCCCGAAAGGTTTACATGACCGTCCGCGAAGGGTTTCCCGTATTATGACTTAAGGGGGGGGCGTCCCTTATGACTTCCAGTTCAGTTGGGGATGTGTTTTACCTCTCCTTGTAGGTGCTTCCTTTGGCAGCGATGTTTCGATCACCCAGCTGATGGGCCGCGCAGTGGATTCCACAGTTCCCCCGTATTGATTGAACCCTCGGTTTTGAACGGCCAAGATGAGCTCGTGGCTGCTTTGAAAGCGTGGACAGTGCAATGAATTTTGGTTGGAGCCTCCAGTTTGGCTGCAGCGTTGGAGCCTCCAATTTGCTCAAGGGGGGGTCAACAGGGAAACGCCTGACCCACGACCCCTACCATCTACCCACCATCAACCCCGATCGAAGGAGACGGATATTTCCAAACTTTGGCAATTCGCCGACCCCACCAGGGTCCCTTAAAGGATACATTTGGTGCCGGAATGTGCCGGATAGAAACATCGCCTTCACCAGAGGACCCCATCCTGTAAAGCAGGCGGTTTCTGGATGGATCGTTTCAAGGAGGCTCTTTGGTTGGTTTTGAGTGTCCAAGAAAGATGCAAAGACAAACCTGACTGCCACAAAACCTGCATGAAGCCCCGTGCCCGTGGAAGGGGAAGACTTTCGGAGTCTGCTTTTTGGCTGGACTCTCGTTTTCCAACCAAGCAACCAGTCGAGGGCCCACGCGTTTTCAGCGGCCTAGGTGAACAGCATGCTGGGCCTTGTGGCACCGTGCATGGTGGGCTTCTGCATGCCCTTTGGCGTGACCAAAATGAAAGGTAACATGGTATCCCCATCAACCACTACAAGAGCCTAAGTGGCAGGGATGGGGCCTAGTCGAGTCATGTCATAGGACAAGGATGCCAGACATAGCAGGGGTCTCTCATGGGCGCTTCTACGTTCGGCCCTGCGAAAGTCGAGGCTTTCAACGGGACCCGGCAGTCAAATTCCAACCTTTGAGAGGAGATCCACTGGCTCTTGAATGATACTTTACACGTCAAGGTGAGACAATTGCGGCCTAGAAGCGCGCATTTTTTGGTTGGGGGTTGGGGGGCGAAAGCTGGGGTAGATGTGATCACATCAAAGGCTCCCCATATGTGGGGGTCTTTTGCCCCAAAACCTCAGAGCGTGTCCTCGTCCACGTCCAACAAGTCAGGAGGTTTTTGCTCGCAGTTCTTGTTTCCAGTTTGGGAGTTATATTGCAATGGCTTAGGTAGGTGTGGTGTACTGAATTCTGAATGACTTGATTCCACTTGGGTGTTCGGCCAAGTTGGTGAGTTGTTGGTAACCTGCGTGTCCTACAATTCCCCCTAAGTGGGATTAACCTTGTTCGGTTGTTGTGCCTGAAGTGGCTAACCACTTAAGAACCCCCGCCGCCCCGCCCCCCGCCATTTTGCAAGATTGTTATTGAGGGCAATTTGCAGTGAACGCCCAACATCCTGCCGTCAACCTAGGATCCCGAAAAAAGTTACTGTGCACTTGAAGGTCCGCTGGTTCTAGGCTTGATCAAACATGCGCATGTGTCCGAGTTGGGGGATTCGCCGGAATGGTGGTTTTGCTTTTGGCTTGCCTTTTAAACACCCCACAAAGGGGCACCACAAGAACCACGCACCCTATATCTCCTAGTTTGGTTTGGCAGCAGAAGCTGAAAACTGACCCCGGCTTCTTGGCGCAGTTGGAAGCCGCGAAGCTTCCCTTCCATGTGCGTAGTTGTTTATTTTTTCCCCCGTTGTTGGTTACAAAGGGAATCCAATCACTACTGGACATACATCCTCATTTTTCCAGGGGGCAAATACATGTGCTTCAGAAACGGTGTTGTGTCCCTTGCTGGCTTTAAAGGGCATCCATCCCTACGGGACATATGTTACCCACGGGCTTAAGCACATGGCCCGTTGCCCCCACAGAGCTCCTAAACCGCGCCGAGGTTCACGACGTATGCCGTGCTGGGCGGGGAGATGACTGTGGAGGTGGTGTTCCCGGCCATGGTGGTGCTGCGGGTGCTGCAGATCATGATGAGCCCCTCGCAGGGTTCTCACCGGGCCTCGGGGCGAAACGAAAACATCGGCGCCTGCCTCTTGGGAATGTTGGGACACGAGGGGAGACTGGTTGGGCAGAACTTCTAGTTGCTGAAATGAATATGTTTTTTGTATTTTTGCCTCTTTTTGTTTAAAGGGAATCCATCACTACTAAACATATTCTTAGTTATAGTTTTTCCAGGGGGCTCAAGCAAATGCAAGAGAAACGCCGGTTGACAAGGCAAAGGACACCCAACCGGGCTTCCGCTGCAGTTGTTGCCTTGTGGCTCATCCAGCTTGGGGGGGGGAGTCAGAAGGCAAATTCCGTGTGGGGCTCGTCCTTCTCCAGCCTCGCGCTGAGGTTTGTTGCCCATATCCTTCTCCGCCATTGCCGAGTTCAACACGGCGCCAGGCGCTCAGAAAAGTGGTCTTGTTAAAAGTGTTGAACAGAAATGAGCTAGATTCCAAATCTTGTAATTTTAGTCATTGTTGGTTTATGTATGTTCATCATGTTTTGGAACAAGGTCAATTTTCATGTCAGAAATAGACCATTGGCCTTGTGAAATGGTCATTGCGCATCCGAAGTGTGGAGTTTCTAGTATGAACCTACAGGGCAAGTAAGGATGGAAAGGAGAATGCACGACGTACAGGATTGATTCGCCGCAGCCGTCCCGGGCCGCCTTTTTATGATCGGATCGCGATGAACAAGCTCCGTTTCATGTTCCCAAAAGTCACAGCCCAGCCATGTGCCCTTGGAAAACCTCACTCCTCCAAACAACAAAGCCCACCCCAAGACAAGGGGAGCAGGTCTTAGGGAACTGCCTTGACTCCGATTCCTTTCCCCCCCCCCGGGGAAACGTCAGGTCGGCGCGCCTGCGGAGTTTCCTGGCGATTGACGCTTGGGGCGAGGTAGAGGAATTGAAGGGCCCGGCGGTGGAAACCGTGGGGGCAGCAGAGCAGCTAAGCTGAGATAGTCGGGTCTGTCTTTCTTGGGGGTTTGGGCTGGTGTTGAAATGAGGGAACCCAAAAGGACAACCGCTGGGAATGCATACTTCTTCAGTTAGACGGATAAGACCTCCAAGCAACAGTGGATGTACTTGCTCCTCGTCTTGGGATTCTGAGAGCTTGTTGGTCAGTTTTGCACTACTTGTATGATCGCTAAACTGTAATTATGTTGTTTGATGTGTTTCTTCATCATTTTAGTCATCAAATGTTTGTTGGCAGTCGATTCAGCAGGTCACAAAGGATTGGCGAATTGCTTCCAGATAGATTCTTCCGTGTTCAGGCAGAACACACTGCAAAGTGTCATTGCCATTTGACGAGATGTCCCGCAAGTGGTGCAATTTCGCAGATGTGTCATGTGTTTGAACGTTTTCCGGAGGACAAACAGGAGTTCGGGCTCGGGCCACATGATCAAGGACCCTTACATAGTCCCTAAACGTGAATTGTAATGGGATTAACCACAAGTTTAGAGGGATGACTTTAATGGGTCCAGCCTTGGTGAACAAAACACAATTAGTGCGGATGTGAATTAGTGCTTCATGTTTGTCTATACCAGTTGGAGCATCCCGAAAAAGAATGTTTCCATGAGGTTCTTAAAGCGAAAGGGCCGCCAGTTTTGACACCCAACTGACCTACCTTCAAATCCCGGCCTTTCGCCCGGATTTGCTCCAAGTAAGTCAGCTTCGAGCCCTCGTGACAAAACATGCCCGGCAAACATGGGGTTCTGTGCAAAGGCACTCCAGGCTACCGATTGCTGTTGGACCCCTCAAGAAAGCCGGGTGGTTTTCAAGAACAGGTTTTTTGGCCATTGGAGGCGCCCTGGGCTTCAGAGTTTCTGTCCATGACCCTTAGAAAATGGAGTCATGACCCCTTTTTCTTTGTGGCTCATGACCAATTGTTTAAGGGTCATGGAGACTCAAGGTAGGCGTTGATGCGCCAGTGCCAAGCTTTTCGGTTCAGCTATCCCAGTTTTTTCCCATGCAGTGCAGTTGCCACTGGACATTTTGTTGATGCATGATCTGAGGCAGTAACCTACTTGGTCTTTTGATTTCGGGTTCAAGTGGTCCGGACCTTTTGCTGGACAAATTTCTCAGAAGTTTGTTCAAGTGCCACAAACAAAAGTCCCCCCATTTGGAACCCGTGTGATTTCATGAGCCCGTAGGATGGGCATCCTTGTCTCAACCGCGTGGCAAACTTGAAGTGGGATCACTCTTGTGAAGCAAACAACAGGCCCTGGGCATTTCAGGTCAAGTTCCCTTGGCTTCAGGTGCAAAGTCAAGGACTCTAACTCCTTAGATGGGAGGAATAAGCCTTGGGCGAAATGTGACATGGGAGCCAGTCAGCTTTGCCCGTTGGGGTTTTGGGGTTTGCTCGCCCCCTGAAAGTTGATCGAACGTTGGCCCTGTGACCTTAGGAAGGGCGCTGCCCCCGGCAGTGTCCTCCTAGAGGAGGTGGGGCGGCGGGGCGGGGTGGGGTGAAGAAATGGAGCCTCGCACGTGGCGACCTCATAGGATAGCCACCCTCCCTAGCATAGGTGTCCTTTTTTTTTTAGGGGGGGGGTTTTGGTGGAAACATAGATGGCGATTCCTGGTTTACCTGGTGGTTCAATCATCTGCCAGGGCTATCTATTTGCCCTAAAAGGACACCTATGCTCCCCTGCCTACCTTCTGCGAAGTCGCTTCTGGTTTGGTGGGATTTGGTGGGTTCAGATCCCCACTAAAAAAGGGATCCACCGCAAACGGTTTCCTTTTTCAGCCAAGGTCACCAGTTGGAATAGGAGAAGTGTCCAGCAAGACCGATCCCTCTCTGTTGCCACGTCCAGGTAAAGAAGCAGACATGCAGAACCGAAAAGGCTCAGTTGGCCCAAGGGGGGGCCAAACAGCCCATGGGTTGCCAACCTGACTGTCCGTTTCGGCGGTATCGGGGCCTTGGTTCGCAGCTCAACCTCAGGTCCCAAAAATGCAGCTATGGCCACAACTTTGCGTGTTCTCATTTTTTAGTTATCTCTTCTAGGTGCCTCAGTAGTGCCCTTTTACTCTTTGGGGGAGGGTTCCCCTACTAAAATAGACTTCTGGAAAAAAGGTACCCTTACTCTAACTTTACTGGAGGACCTAGTCTTAACTTTGCAAGCCCGCTGAACCCATCGTGACATCTCTGGAGCCGCATCGGCCGGCAGGCCAGCTTTCAGCGCGGGCAGGAGGCCGGATGGGGGTGAAACCAAAAGGAAGACGTCTCAAAACTTCCATTTGCTTAAGAATGTTTGTATTTTTCCCTTGTTGGTTTTAAAGGAATTTATCACTACTGGAAATATCTTTCTTTTTTCCAGCTGGAAGAAAAAGAAGCCGTCTCCAAATAGGGGGGTGAAGGGAAACATGGGGAGTCGCAAAATGAAGTGTCTCACGACAGGGGTAGCGTTCACGTCCAACAACAACGGGCACCCTCACAAAGACACACCCAAATCGGGCTCCCTTGTAAGATGTTTACATCCTGGTGAACATCGTGGGTATTGTTGGGCTTTGTTTGTTCTCAAAATTGCGCTACCCTTGTTAGCATAGTCCATTGAAGAGTTGTTTGGCAGTGCACCTTGATGTTAGCTGCTCCATTGCACAACGTTGGGAAATCACAGTAACATAGCATAGCCCTGCACAACTTGGTTTTCCCTCACGGATCAAGCTTGATACTGTGGATGGATGAAATCCTGCACCACCTAAGAAACCATGGGAAACCATTGTTTGTAGGTATTTATCGGGGCATCGAATCAAAACTATCTTTGGTGGTGCAGGATTTTGCCCCTTGTGAGGCTGCCATGTGTCGCGCAGCGCGTGAACGGAGATGCTTTCGACTGCAACTGCAATCGGATCCGAGCAACGCACTCTTCTTTGATGCATTTTGCTTGGATGTTAATTAGGACTTTAGCTTTTTTGCCAACTAATGGTTTTCCATTAAACCACTAAAGGTTAAACTTTTAGCAGGGGAGCAGAAAGCAACCGAGTCTTTCTGGACCCTGGTGCCGCCCAAGGTGCCACCTTTTCAAAGGGAGCACCACAAGGGCCCCGAAGTTTGACCACCTGTATACTTGTTGCAGCGTGTACCGTCTTGAATTCGTATTTCCTTCAAATGTGACTGGCGGGCTATTAGGGATGAGCTAGTAGGCAGGGGATCCGTTTAATTAAAACTTTCCGAGGTAGCGAGCAAAGGAGGACTGAATCGGAGGTTCGTACTCACCAGCCGCCTTTCCCAGTTTTTGTTTTCCCAGTTTTTTTTTTTTTGGGGGGGGGGGGGCTGGAACAGGATCATCAATGAACAGGATACCGTGTTGCAAGCACGGGGACCTGCGGAACCTTGACACTTATTTGAAATATATTTGTACCTGAGGTTTGGTTGGCTTGCCAAAATTGGAGCGGGAATCGGCACGCTTCCCTTGGCACTTGGAACGGGGCCCACTCTAAACCTGTGAATCTGACCCAACGGAGGGTTGCCCTTTTGGCCGGAAGGGTGAGAGGAATGGTGGGAGGTTGAAAAAAGGAGGGTCATGGTGGTGGACAATTGTGGTTTTGAAGGATGCCACTTGCTGAAATACCCTGAAATAATCCCTTTTAGCATGATGTCACACCAAAAGGCAATGGCAATGGAGATCGCAGATTTGGGTGAGGTCTTCTTTTTTAGGGGACTTTCAAGGTTGTGTTTTCCTTCTGGTGTCAATTTAACAGAGAAATGGACAATTACTCTCCCATTATCATGGAACCTGAACAGGAGCTCCTGGTTTGGACCATGTGCCTTTTATAGTGACCAGGTTCCTGTGAGGTTCTACTCCAAACAAAAAGAAGGAAAAGCAACAGAAAACAACAAACACCACACAAAAGAAACAACAAACACAACACGGGAAAACAGAAAAGAAGATGCGACCGCCACGTCCATGTCAGGGGCGGTGCTTCCGGCTGGGGCCGCTCAGCCTCTCGCTGGCGCCGGGGGAGCTCTGCGTGGTCTGCGGGCCCGTGGGCAGCGGCAAGAGCTCCCTCGTCATGGGCCCGCCGGCTCCTCCAGGGCTTCAGGTGGCGGGCGGGTGGTCACTTCCATTGATCTTTAGACTTTAACTTTTTGGGAAAGCAAGGCGTTTTCCACTAACCCCCCAAGAAGTGAAACCATTTTGCAAGGGGGTCAACAGCAACCAAGCACAGGCCAGTGGGCCGGAGAGGTCATTGCCCATAAAACACGCTTTGAAACACTTCCCTTTGAAGAATTTGGTTGTTTTCCCCTGTTGGTTTTAAAAGGAATCGATTGCTACTGGATTTTTATTTTTATTTTTTCCCAGGGGGCTTAAGCAAATGGAAGGTAAGGGAGCCGTAGAAGAGCGAGCCGTTTCGGAGCTGGGGGTAATTATTATCCAAACTTGGCAAGCCCAGCCATCCGGTAGTCCTTGGGACTTTCCAGTCTGTTTTTTGTTGTTGGGGGTTTTGGGGGTAGTTTTCGCTAAACACAACTGCAAGGTAGACTTTTTAGCAGCGCATCTGGGAATAGCAGAGCAAACTTTGCCCAACAGGAAGCCAAGGAGCTATCGTGTTCCTTAAAAAAGGAACATGGCCTACATTGCTCAAAAGGATGCTTTCGTTTGCGGCAACGGGGAGTCAACCGGGTCGCAAATGCTGCTCAGGGAGATACCTGCTTGAAGTGTTGAGAGTTCCGCTGGGGGTCCGACAGGCAACCACTGCGTGTGGAAAATAGAAGGGGTGGGGAAGTGGCGGAAAGATGAGATATATTCCGCTGCGGGGCTGTATGCAATATCGAACGGAGTGCGAGATCCAGGAACCAGAAGCCTTTCTGAAATCCTGTTCATACATGTTCAAAAACCGTTCTCCAAGGAAAGATCACCCCGGTTTGGCCGGACTCGGCATGTGTGGCCTGGCGTCTTCCGGGGACCTATGTACGCTCCAGGCCTGCAGCCCCCCCCCTCTCCTTTATCCACTTGACCTATGTGTGAACCTTCCAATCTCAATTAGTTGTTTGTTTCGTGGCGACTTGAACCAAGCAAACAACACATGCGTCACAGGTTTAACACTTGGAACCGGCCGAAAAACAAGTCGTCTCCCTGCCACCCACTGATGTGATTTCCAGCTTTCGGGAACTCTTCGGAACCTTCCCCCACCGCCCCAAACCTAGGATCGATGTACCCCACAGTCGTTGAGACTGAAACCTCCCTTCCGGGACAACGATGGATTTCTCGATACATGCTCAATATTTTTCTTGAATGGATGGACTCAGCGAGCACCCGACATGAAACGGCAATCCACGGCGATCGGCAGGAAGGTACCCTCCCACCAATTAAGATGGAAGCTGACGTTCAGGGGGTCCTGGAAGACTTTTCAAGGGACTGTTGGTTCCATGTTATTTGGTGGGAGGGTATCTTACCACTACTGAACTCTGGCTTCATCCTGCCCGGCGCCCGCGGCCAAGCCGGCGCGCAGGCGCGCGCAGGCGCGCGTTTGCTTTGCCCGAGGTATGCTGGGGGAGCTGGGCGCGCCGGTCAGTGGCCGCGCAGAGGTCTGCGGAGGCATGGCCTTGGCAGGGCAAGAGCGCCTCGAAGCGAAGCCTGAGGTTCCAACGGGGTTTTCCTTTTGGCTTCCTCTTGTGCTTTTTGGGTTCCCTCACTTTTGGGGCCCAAACAGTTTGGCTTCTATTTCTTGACCAATCCAGTCAGGAAGTGAGTGTTGTGGAGTCTTCTGTTGCGTGCCATTTTGGTTCCTTTTGGTGGTTGGTTGCAAGCAAATGGGGGACAACAGGCAGGTTGGTTTCCTGGTTTCACTTTGAAGCCTGCAACCTTAAACTTTGGAGTCCACTCTCTAAATTCCTTTTTGTTGGACGGGCTTGGGAACCACTGATGAGAATGAACCCCGAAAAGAGTTCAACATCTGTTTCTACCTGGGCCACTGGCAAGTGGAGCTGAGAGCTGTCAACTTCGGATTCCGGAAGCTACGCAGGGGTTGGGTTTAGAATTTATTCATATCGGCTTGTTTTGTGTTGGGTACCGCAGTTGGCGTGGTTTTTCAAGGGAGCCCAAAAAAAACAACAACCATCCCCTTCAGACCATACGGGGCCCGGGTGAATCGGAAGTTGACAGCTTGCCCCCTTGGGTTCGGAGCTGAAAGCAGCCCGTCAGTGACTCACATGGGTTTTGGTGACCATGACCTGAGCAACAAGTACCGTCGTGCTGGCGAGGCGCAAGGCAATGGGGATTTTTCTTTTTCTTTTGCCACACGAATGTCCTTTTCCAGGGCTTGGGAGCGACCACTTCATCTTTGGTGCCTGGCTTCATGCATTCCACACAGTGCTTTTGGGTGGGCTGCCTACTCGATCTTTTTGCGGCCCCTTTCAAAAAAATGCCCCCCCCCCCCAAAAAAAAAAGAAAAAAAGAAAGAGACAAACAAGCAACACAAAGCACGTCCTCCCCCTCCATGTCTCCCCTTTCCCCAATTGCGAAAGCCCTAGTTCTGGGATTCTGGGAGGCTTGCGAGGATGTTCCGCTGAACATACTCTGACCGACTCCTGTTGGCTTAGTTTTGATGTTTTGACTACGCCCAATGCTGAAGAGCTTGTTCTGGCTTCCCAACTTTCTGCCGAGTGGGCCACCAGTTGAATCATCTCACCAGCAAGAAAGAAGTCGTGTAGCTCTGAATGAGCTCCCTTTTTCCTAGATAGTTGGGTGTCCTCCAAAAGTGCAATACGTTTCTTAGGCTAAATTGGGACTTTAAATGAGGCAGAGTCTGAACTGAGCTACTGTGGCTGGACCAAATCCTTTGCCACTTTGAAACCATTGTTGAAAGCATTGTTTGTTGCTATTCACGCTAGGGAATCGAATCGTTCCGTTGGGATTCCAAACAGGGATTGCGCAGCCATCCACAGGTATCTCCTTTTCGGTGTGCTTTCTGGGCCCCTGATCTGCCAAGCTAAGGAGGTCGCAAGTCCGGCCAAGGGCATCCCCCTGAAAAGTGGAATTGGGGAGGGGGGTGCAGATCTCTATTTCTGGTGCAACTTTCCCTTTAAATAAAAGGCCATCTATGGTGCCATTTTGGCGCCATTTTCCCTTGGGGAAAGTGGCAGGTGGGTCCGGGCCCCCCAAACCTGAGGCCCTGGATCCTGTCGGCGTCGCTGAAGAAGAACATCCTCAGCTTTCGGGACTGCGAGGACGGATCGATCCGGGGGATCCGGAGGGGTTGGGGGAATTTTGGCCGAAAAGGGGGGTGCCATGACTTCTTTGGTTTTGGTGACCCCGTCAGATTCCGGGGGTAAGGGCGTGATGGGCCAATAATGAGTTGCCATTTCTTGATTTCAGTTTTTCAGGGTCACGGAGACTACATTCGAACCCTTATTGGTCTTCCAAATTGTCCAACCTCGGCGTCCGTTTCTACCTCCCCCCCCCCCGGTCCCCCCCCCCCCAAGGCCTCCCCCCCAAAACCGCCAGGAGGGCTGCTACAAGCAGGCGCTGCATCGAGCCCAGCTGCAGGCGGATCTGGCCTGGGGCCCCGGAGGTTCAAAGGACTCGAGCCGCAGACTCGCAGCCGCTTCCTTAGCCCTTTAGATCTTTTTAGTTGGTTTGGTGGTTAAATGTCCATTGTCAAGCCACTAAAAGTCAAACTTTTGGCAGGGGATCTGAGGGGGTCGCGGGTTCGCTTCGGTCCTAGTTGCTGGCTCGCTTCGGTCCTAGTTTTCATCTCGCTTCGGTCCTAGTTTCCTTACTCGCTTCGGTCCTAGTTTCTTCGCCGTTGACTATGGTGTTTGAGAGGCAACATCCTTGTCGACCCCACCCCACCCGGCATGTCTTGTCGTTAGGTGTTTGAGAGGCAACATCCTTGTCGACCCCCCGCCCGGCATGTCTTGTTGTTAGGTGTTTGAGAGGCAACATCCTTGTCGACCCCACCCCGCCCGGCATGTCTTGCTGTCAGGTGTTTGAGAGGCAACATCCTTGTCGACCCCACCCCACCCGGCATGTCTTGTTGTTAGGTGTTTGAGAGGCAACATCCTTGTCGACCCCGCCCCACGCGGCATGTCTTGTTGTTAGGTGTTTGAGAGGCAACACCCTTTGCGTGTGTCCTGTTGTTAGTGCTCAAAAAGCTATCTTCCACTGCGCCTGAAGTGATCCAAAAATTGCGACAGAAGTGATCCGCAAATGCTCAACTACGACCAAAGTGAGTGGATTTCAGCTGCGACCAAAGTGATCCAAAAACTGCGACCAAAGTGATCCCCCCGCCATCTGAGGGCAGCCCAGGTTTTTGTTGCGGGCTTTTGCGGGTTTTGAGATCAGAGTCGCAGATCCAAGCCAATGTGAGGTTTTCGTTCTGAACTGATGCTGGATTTGCGTGAACCCCTGTTTGCTGGGATCTCTTTTGAAGTTCTACGTTAAAGTCTCATGTTTTTTTGGGGACAGGGAGCACAGATGTCTGATTGGAGCTCGGAAAGGAGGTTGTTGGATCATTGGACTTTGACTTTTTGAAATTTGGATGGAACCCACAAAAAGTCAAACGCTTCTTGCAGAGGGATCAACAACCAAGTCGGGTGCTAACCACAGGGTTTCCTCCACTCGCTTAGTGGATCCTCCATAAGTGGAACCGTAAATAGGCCAGAAGTTTTATGCAACGGGGAAGCCAACAGGCAATGGTTCCCTTTGAACAAACATTGTTTCCAGACCCTCCCTTCTCCTTCTCGATAGAAATTGATGGAGGAGGGATCTGATTGCAGCTCGAATTTCGTAACTTCCAGTTTCTGGAGAAGACTGGAGAAATGCCGTTGGGCCCCCCTTTCCCAGTACGATGGGATGCTTGGGAGGGGGTCCCACCTAGCATGGAACCAGCCAGAGGCTCCCTCGAGAATCGCTCAGGCGATTCGGGTGTGTCCTGTTTTAAGGGTACACTTGTTTCTTTTCTTTTTCTTTTTTTTTGCCGGTGGGGGGGGGGGGAACCAAAAGGAAACCCAACATCATTATACATACAAATGTATAAAACATATGGGGGGGTTCCTCTAACCCATAACCAGAACCATGCACTCCATTCAGAAGCCAAGGCCGCGCTGCCGGCGGGGGACGAGACGGAGATCGGCTCCAAGGGTATCAATATCTCCGGGGGGCAGCAGCTTGGCTCAGGCTCCGCGTGCTCCGAGAATTCGTTCCATTGGAAGGCCCCACTGCTTTGCCGCGAAGGGAGTCTCGAGCTGTGAAAGCATTGTTCATGGTTGTTGGTGGGAAACATTTTTAACATTTTTGCTGATTGTGGTTTAGTGGGACGTCCCCACTTAACTGCTTAAAAAAAAAAACTCCCCTTCCAACGTTAACCGTGTTGCTGGGATGTATGCTTTGATGTGCGTTATAGTTCCCCAACTCGGTTCTTGGTCTGGACATGTCTGGGCCAGTTTCAGAAACAAACAGTTCAGAGTTTTAGTGGCCAAGGAGTCTATCAACTGGGGATGGAGCCCAAATACCGCCGGCATTCTGGGGCCCTTCCAGCAGCTCTTTAGGATGGGCTTGTCTGAAAATAGGGGAGTTCCGCTACAAAATGGGCTTCAGTTTCCTTTTGGCTTTCCTCTAAGATCACCCCTAACCAACCCCACCCACAACTTCCATTTGCTTGAGAGTATGTTTTGTTTTCCCTGGTTGGCTTGAAAGAGAATCTACCACCACTGGAAACATTTGCTCATTTTCTCCAAGGAGCGGGCTTAAGCTGAAATGTATGTTTTGCATAAGCTCATGAATCGGCATTTTTCCCCCCGGTTTAAAGTGGAATCTCACACCTGAACGCATTTTCTCATTTGTTCAGCGGGCGGATGACACCCACTCCACCGGGCGGGGCGGGAACCGAGGAAGGCCCGGGTGGGCCTGGCGCGGGCGCTGCTCACCTCGAAGGATGTGGTCTTCCTGGACGACGTGCTCTCCGCGGTGGACGCGTCTGGGGCGCCAAAGAGGTTGAGACCCCGGAGACATCCGCGTGGCCCCACCAAAGGATACCTTTAAAACGGGCAAAGCAGGGAGTTTCCGCCAGCAACCCAGACAAAACCGGGTCTTTGGAAGCTTGGTTCCATTTACCGAGGCCAATTCGAAGCTTCCGGCTGCTAGTCTGAGGGAGTGTAACCTATAGGAAGTCTGCGTGGCTCCATGAGTCAAGGACACCACAAAAAACGGGTAAAGCAGGGAAACACCCCACCAAGAAACCGGACAAAAACCGGGTCTTTGGAAGGTTTGGGTAAGGAATGCGCCTTGAAACTTTGGAATTGTCCGGGCCTGGTGAAGGAGCTGTTCGGGCCTGAATGGTGTTGCCATGAGGGCCTGAATTAAATAAAGAGAGAGAGAGAAAGGGAGAGGAGAGAGATAAGAGATAACGGGCTAACATGTGATTTTGCAGACTTCCTCGGTCATGGCTGTAATTGCTCCGCCCTTTTTGTGGCGAAATCACCGATTGGGAGGTGAAATGTGTGGAAGAATCGGGGCAATTCACAGATTTGTTTAGACATGCTCCAAGCGTATTTTGCGCCGGATAAACTTATTGGACTTATACTTGATAGGGGGAGACTTACATAAAAGAGACATAAGAGACCAACATTCATAGTTATGTAGCCACACATGCTTCAGAAGAGGGTGTTGATTTGGGCAGATGTTGTTCTTGCTCGCCTGGGGCTAACGAGCGATCCCACGAACGAAGGTTCTTTTTGAAGGTCCAGTTTCGAGTAGTTTGCCCAGATGGAATGGCCTTTCGCGAAGCGCCCGTCTTTTTTTTTTTGCACGGAACCAAAAGGGAAACTACATGATTGAAAAGTGCCTTGGATAATTTTGAGGCAAACTGGTGAACGCCCCAAATATTGCAAGCAAACCAACCACAAATGGTTGAATTTACAGGGGTTCCTTTGTTCCCTACTTGCAATGCCGTGGACAAAATCCAGTTCACACCAGCCAATAATTTCTGGAAGGGTTCGATTCCCGAACGTAAATTCCAACAAACCTAATGGTTTCAACCATGGTTCCCTTTCGTGGTGCGCGAAGCAGATGTCGCAGCCGCCCACGGTATTGCAATTCGGGAACTTCAAGGAAACCCAACTCAAGGGACACCCAGCTTAACAAACGCCCCGTAGATTTCATTCATTCCCATTTTGCAAGCCAACGGTTTGCTGAGGCAATGTTTGGTTTGCATACCCACCCCTCCTTTTTGTCTTGGTGGTTCCCAGCCATCCCCTTCGCCTTTTTATCCTTCTAGTGTTTGGTGGGTCAAAATCGGGATCCAATTTTGTAGGTGGAATTTTCACCACCCGGTGGCTTTATTTTGGGATTGGGATGTTGACTGGGGGCTAACCGGGATCCGAGGACAGCCCCTCTTTCGGTTTTCCGGAGCCAAGGTGCACGTGGCCCGGGGGATTTTGAGGGCGCTGCTGGAGCTCAAGGAGACCACGCGGATAGCAGCCTGGCCTCTTTTTCCCGTTTTTCGGAGACCAAAAGCCAAAAGCCGTGCCCCCTTGGTTTGGCTTGGTTTTGTTGGGTTGGTTGTTTGGTTGCTTGCTTGTTTGGTTGTTTGCTTGTTTGGTTGTTTGTTGACTTGCTTTTGTGTTGTTTAGGTGTTTTTTGTTTGTTCTGAGAGTTGGGTGTGTCTTTGTTCGCAGGGTACCCTTGGCTCGGGAAGCCAGAAGGACAACAAAGCCCATTTTGGCACCAGTCAGCGGCAAGAGTTCCAGTGCCGCTTTTGCTAACCTAGGCACATGGGTTGAACGGTCACTGTGGCAAGGTCCGCGAACAACCGTTTTTTTTTTTTTTTTTTTTTTTTTTTTTTGTTTTTTTTAAATCACAACGTGTTTGCACTTGCCTTTGATGTAGAACATGGCTTCCAGTTTTGTGATGCTCTTTTTCATTTGCGTGCCTCTATGGTTGGTAAGTCCGCCTCGGAATACCTACCAAGCTACGAGCAAAGCACACGTATCCTGAGATGCTTACTTAAATGGGAAGACATTCAACTTTGCATATCAACTCAACTGTGTATATTATAATTGGTAGAGCTGTATACCAAAAAAACTGCTGCGTTCCTTCTGGTTCCCCCCAAAAAAAACACACCCAACAAAACGGGGTCTCCTTAGAAGCGGACATATGTGCCATGGGTGGAGTTTTTGATGGAGAGACAGATGTGTGCGATGCTCAAAAGACTTACTTGGGTTGGCAGGGACAGTCATAGATCCTTTAAATCGGCACAACGATTGCCTAAGGGATCCTATTGAGAGATGACCACCCGTTATTTTCAGAGTTTTGACCATGTCACGTAATGGTAGGTCGACAATGTTTGGACAGGCCCCCAAAGCCAAGTTTTGTTTGGGAGGGGCCCCCTAATTCATTTGGAGCCCCTTCGGTCCTCGTTTTTTACTTCCAGCCCCTAGCCAATTGAACGCAGAACCTGCCTTCTTGGTCCCTTCTGGGCAAATAGGACCTTAAACGGCAACATCCATGTTTTGAGCCCAAAAAGGCCCTGATTCATTGCGGGGGGTCTGTTTGAGGGCGGCTGGCCTAGAGGAAAAGGTCCTCCCCTTTGTGAGCTTGAACTTGTCATTTCAAACAAACTTGAAAGAACGAATCATTGTTTGGGAAGCACGTTTTTTGGGGGAAAGCTTGAGGACCTTATTGGTGGCCTAGCATTTGTGGGCTTAAGCAGGCTGAGCGAATACTATGCAAACAGGACGGAAAAGAGGCTAAGGTGTGTTGGTTTGGGGGATGCAGGGGGCTACCTTTCACGGGGGGGGGGGGGGGGGACAAATAATGCTTTGCAGTATGGTGGGAATCTGGGAGGAAAAAGGGAAAAGGGGAAACCTTCAATCGGGTGGGAATAATTGTGCACTGGCATTATAAGTTGAGGAGATATCTCCATTTCTTATCGATGAACCTTTTCTTGGATGTCCAAACCCATGGGTGTCTTTCAACCAACCACATTATAACTTAAGAATCACAAAATTTCGCGCGTTTTCAGCCGCTTCTCTCCAAAACCAACACCAACCCGCAGTGAAATTCATCAGAGGTGGTGGCCAATACCTTCCTGCCACTGCTTCTGCCCCATGCGCACAAGGCTCCGGGACGGGCTCCGGGCCGTTTCGCCGGGCTTTGGTTACGTTGGTTAGTGGGTTGGTTGGGTTGGTTGGGTTGGTTGGTTGGTTGGTTGGTTGGTTGGTTGGTTGGTTGGTTGGTTGGTTGGTTGGCCTGCCAGGGCTCATGCGAAGACATGGTCTTTGTATGTCTTTGTTATGCATTTCCAGACGTTGGCGCCCCACCCAACTACAAACGTGGCTTTTCCCAGACTCTCTTTTGGTCTTGTCGGATGTTCTGCATGTTTGACCATGGCACCGGTGTCGCCAAATGCGTTTGCTCAAAGTCCACTTGTCGACGCCCCCTAAAAACAGACTGTGGGTGGATGAAATCCACAAAAACCATTGTCCGTGGGTATTTACAGGAGAATCATCATTCCAGGGTTTCTTAGTTGAGGATTTCGTCCATCCACACTAGCATTTCCCCCCCAAACGCCCCTTCAAAAGCCCCCCCCGTTTTTGGCTGGCTCCCCTTTGCCCTCTGACCCCCCACCCCCGTTTCTGCGGCAGGTGGTGGTTTTGGGCGAGACGCCAGTGGTGGCCTCCGCGGCGGAGGCGGTGGCCACGTCGCCGTGGCTGCGGGAGGCGGTGGGGACCATGGCTTCCACGGAGCTGGAGGAGTCGAATCCCAAGGAGCAGCCTGGCCAGGCCTGGCTTATCTTGATTGCTATTGGGCTGGATCTTTAGACTTTATTTTTTTTTCGGATATCATGGGGTTCTCCATTAAACCCACAAAAAGTTGAAGTTTTTCCAGAGGGGTCAGCTTCAAATGGCTTGGCTTTATACCGTCTTCCATGGATTCCTTTAAGGTGACCACCTGGCTTCATTCCCTCATTCCCTACTGACCGGTATGTAAGTTTGTTCCTCCAATAAATGGCTGTGATGGTCAAAACCGTATTGGGATCCCATTTTGGGGTAGGTGTTTTTAGGCTTTATTTTGGTGGGGCTTGGGATGTTCACTCGGGGTACGGGATTTTGACGGCGGTTCTTTCTGGTTCTAACCATCTACCTGTGCCAGCTACTTTTCCAAAAGGACAATGTTTGGTTAGGTTTTCATGAAGGGATGCTGGATTTGTGTGACCCCTGTTTGCTGGGATCTCTTGTGAACTTGTTCTGCGTTCAAGGCTTAGTTAATATGGACCACAATCACACGTATGATTTGAGCTCAGGGGAAACTGAGTGGGGCATCGATGTTCCAACCATATGCCTCTCCAGAACAAAGCCCTTAGGTTCTTTATGGCTATTTAATTGGATCTTTGGACATCCTCCATTTGCTGAAATGAATGTGTTTGATTTTTCCTTGTTGGTTTTAAAGGGAACCTGTCACTACTGGAAATACGTGTATTGTTCCATGGGGCGAAACAACAAATGGATGTATTTTGCTTGGACTTTTTGGCTTTTGGAAAAACAGCTCGGATTTTTCCATTGAACCCGCAAACAAGTTAGACTGTTTGCAGGGGGGCAACCGCAACCAAGATTAGTCAGGTGGCTATCCAGGCGAAGGGTCATTGACACGGGCTGACGTTCGAAGGCGAACATGCAGCATGCCGCCTGCAAGTAAGCGAGCCATCAGAGTGTGACAGAGGCCACAAGACCAGAACGCTCAGTGATGATGCAACTGACCAGCACACGGCCCAAGGTCCACTGCGAAGGGTGTTTGGTGTCAACAGCATCACAATCACAGCCGCAGATAAAGGGTCCGTGCCGTTGCACTCTTGGAGAAAATTGCGCACAGCCGAGAATCAGCAGCTCCTGAGTGTGCAGATGTACATCGAACCAGACCAGCGAGGAATGCATTTCAGCCCGATACGCCCCGGCATGCAGGACGACGACAGCCTCCATCACTTGCCATTAAGCGGGGAATAACATCGCGACACCTCCGGAAGGGTGAGACCCTGTTGGCTTTGGCGCCGGCTGGCGGCTTGTGCTTGAGGCTTTTGACTCTGACAGCTGAGCCGGGCCTTGTTTGTGGTCGGCCATCTGGTTGCGAGACTGCCATGCTCTGGATTCTGGTTGCTGCCCGCGCTCGCCAAGTTGCAGTGTTATCTTGTCTGTGCGCTGGTTGGGCCCCCTTTGTCAATTCTTACTGTTCGCCTGTTGGCTTTTGTTCTAGGATTCTATCAGTATTGGGCACTGGCCGGTGGTTGGAAGGGAGCCCTTAAGGATATGACATGTTTTGAATCAAAGTTGCTCACTACTGGACATACTGTGCATGGCGCGACCTAAGAAACCCTGCAATGATGACCCCCCTCTAAATATCAACAAACGCTGTCAACAGTGGTTTCTCAGGTGGGGCGAAGTGGATTTCGCAACCGTCCACAGTGTTTTCAAACGGGTGTGGCTCAAAAATTATACAGGAGGGGTTGCGCAGGTTTTGGGCCATGTTTCCACTTAGAAGGGTCCCATTTTGGCACAGACAAAAATGTTTCAAGAGACTGTGGCAAGCGGGGCAAGTGGCCCTTTTTTGCCCCAGCTTGAGTCCCCTGTGAGGCGCCGGCGCAGGCTGAAGCTCCTGCGGACGTGCAAAAACCTCAGGTGGATGGGTCTTTGCTCATCGCGGAGGACAGGGAAAGCTGGTGGTCACTTGGGCCGTGCAAAGGCATGCACTTGATGAACTTGGTGGCAAGCCCGTGTGCTGGTTTTAGATCTTTTGTGGTAGTTTCCACTCAACCACTAAAGCCCGGTTCAACGTTCCACCAGGGTTTTTGGTACTCGTAAGTGGGTTAGAACCCCCCTGATCCTAGCACGCTCGCATTTTGCCCTGCGCAACGTGAATCCGAAACAGCCCCCCAGCTTGGGACCGACTTCGCGGTCGATCTAGATTCCATGTGGCTGTCGTGGCAGCAAGAGCAGAGTAGCGGGGTCCCTATATTCGTGTTTGTTTTGAATGTGTTGCCCCAAAATGGGTGGTTTGCCTTTTGAGGTGTGCCTTCGGAACCACCTCAAACTTCGTAGCCTCACCTAGCACACGCCCCAGAGATTTTGCGAAATTGCCACGGAGCTAGGCGCAACCCTGCAGGACAGGAATGTGGGAGTGCTGAGTTTCAACGCTGCTTGGCTTTGACCACTCGATGTCGTGCGGATTTGTTGTTGTTCTTTTCATTTCACCCCTTTGAACGAGACTCGCCTGGGAATTGTGTCAAAGAACGTCGTTTCTTTGAGGGAGGTCATGGCCCTAGAGCCGGCTGCGTTGCTTGGAGCTCGATGGCAAGTTGTTTTTGTTTGAGAGTCTAGTGGATGGGGAGATTCGGTGAGGTTGTGATTGCTGCGGGGCATTACCAAGGCACCCCTCACCAAGGCAACGCAGCACGCATGCCTGCAAAGCGAGGTTTGAGCCCAGAGATTCTCGTTTTGTGACTCGTGCGAGCAGGGCGGAGCCGGGAGGCACAATCAGAGCCGGGAGCAATCTTCCAGGGGGTAAGTCTCAAGAACTCGGATTCCTTCGGATTCCGGGATGCGAATCTTTCCAACCAAACGTGCTGGTTTGAATATATTATTGGCTGAACATGTTGGAAATGCATCCGTTGGACCAGGCCCCCCCCAATAATCGCTAATTTGCGTCCCGGGTGAAGTGCCGGCAATTGACCAGCACTTGCTTAAAAATGGTTTCGTAGTCGCATAGGTGTTTTGCCATCAAAGTGCAGTGAAAGGTCACTTTTGTTGAAAGGTCACTTCAGGATACCAGCTCCGTGAATACCTGCTGATGCTAGATTTGACCAACAGAAATCCCATTTCGTGGCCGGGAATGCAATTTACCATTTTAGCCCAGGAGAGTTTTTGAGGGGACCCTCTAGATTTGACTTGGGTTATTTGGCGCGGCCACTGCCTCCTAGGCCTACGCCTCCTATTTCAAGCACGCCAGCACGAGTGGCAGCTGGTGCGTGGGCGCGCTGCTGTTCTTGGTGGTGGTGCTGCTGGCGCTGCTCGCTGAGTCCTTCCGGACACTGACGGAGATCTGGGTCACGGCTTCTCGGCTAAACCTGTCGGCCAAGTAGGTCATTCGTCGTGTGTTTTCGCACATGGAGCTACCTGGGTCGGCCAAGTTTGTTGCCAGGGTTCCAACCGATTAGGCAGCGCTAAAATTGCGTCGTTTTTCCGCTGGGCAGCGAGGATGCGCCGCGACACCATGAGCCAGTTCCAAGCGAAGCAAAGTAAGCCTCCAGGATCGTTTTCGTTTTCAGGAGTATGATCTCCTTGTTTGCGGGCATGCTATCACATACCCTCTCAAAAAGCAAGGGAAAACCTGTGGAAACACCCGATCCATCTTCAAACCATTCCCGCTCTGGCGCGGTTCTTTTTTCTCGACTATTTTTCTTGCTGGTGCTCAGGGAATGACCTTCTGATCTGGGTGTTGGGAATGAACCTGGGGATTCCCTTAAAGGAAGCCATAAGTGATGGTAAACGGGGGTCATTCCATTTCTCTTTCCATGCTGACCAGCAATTGTTGATTCAAAGATCACGGGTTCGTCATGTCCGATGAATCATACTGTAGATAAGAAACCCTGGAATCATGATTCCCCCGAAATACCAACACACAATGGCTTTCCATGGCTTCAAAGCGGTGCGAAAAGGATTTCGCAACCATCGACAGTAGCAATGATAACAGGGTTCCACTTTTTGAGAAGATAGACTTAATTCCAGGGCGGCTGGGGGAGAGGGAGGGGAAGGGAGCCCAAAGAAGCCCTCCCTCCCCCCCAGCCTCCCAGGTTTGGACGGACCAGGAGGACACTCAGTCTCTGGGCTTTTGGATCGCCGGCTTCGGCGCCGTCACCGCCATGCTTTGTGTGGTGCGCCTCGGAAAGCCCAGCGAACGAAGACGCCTGGTGGGTGCTCCCTTCCACCAACATAGCACCTGGAGGGTACCTGGAAGACCATTTTCCTCTTGTAGGGACCCCTGTCAGGTGACATGCTAGTGGGAGTGAGGGGAATTGGCTATGGTTTGAGTTCTCAAAGTCTTCGGGGAGGATGTTTTCACTTTGTCCTGGCCGCTGTTTGGCACAAAGCGCTGCCCAAACCAACCACTGGACGTGGCGTCGTCGTTGTCCTTGTGGTCGTCGTCGTTGTCGTCGCCGTCGTGGCGTTGCCGTCGTCGTCGTCGTCATCGTTGTCGGGGTGGAGCCTCTATCTTCAGGAGTGCCCGCTCATGGGATGATGCGTTTTTGTTTCCTGGTATAAACAGGGGTCTTTATTAGCACTCTCCTTTGGTGTTCTATTCAAACGGGGTCAGGGGTTGGTTGTTGTACTTCTTTTACGTAAGCCCTCATTTGAGGGGCCTGGTGCGGGCCGCGGTGTACGTGCGCCTCATCGAGCGCATTGGAGGTGGGAGCTTCACCTACATGTGCCCCTCGGCCGGCAAGGCTCGACTCAAACGCGCGCCGGGGTGCGTTGGCAAATTGGGCGATTTCACTTTGGGAGAAACAAAGGGGCCAAGCGCAGTCTCTTCTTGGTCCCTGAAATGAACAGTTTCTTCTTTACTTCTTTTTTTTCGTGGGGGGTCCCGTCATTTTGCCGGGAGAGGCACTCAAAAGGCGGCGTTTTGTTGTTGTTTTTTCCCGCCTAGGCTGCAAGGTGCTGAACGCGTCCGTGCCACTCTTCTTTGACGTGGTGCCCACGGGCAGGATACTGAACAGATTCTCCAAGGACCGGGTTCTGCAGGGTCCCTTGACAGCTATTGGGTTGGATCTTAAGACGTTTTTTTGAAATAAAGGGGGTTTTCTACTAGACCCACAAAAAGTTAAACTTTTTGCAGAGGGGTCAACAGCAACCAAGGTCCCAGAAGGCTATGTGGGGCTTGGCGGGGGTTAAAGCTTGTTGCGGCCGGTGTGGCAACTGAGCTTCGGTAGCAACAGTCTAGGGCCATTGCGCCTCTCCCTTTTTTGTCTCGTGGGTTTTCCGCATGGTTGAATCTAAGGCCCCACTTTTTCCAGGGTCCTTGGGCGCTGGAACATGTATTTTGTGGTGTCATCACTTCTGTTTGAAGGCCAGGAAGTGAGAAACACTCACGAGAAATGGCTGGCCATGTCGTGCCCAACACTGCTTTCCCCCTTCGACATCGTAAACACTCAGACCAATCGATCTCCCGGCCGGACAGTAGAGTCATGTTCAAAGTGGACATGAAGTCGGCGTGTCACCTGGGGCCTTAGGATCGTCAGCTTCGGATTGCCCGCTTGGTTTCGTCTTGCGCTCCGGGGGTTCAATGCTAGGCTTCAAAAGGTGTCCTTCGGGTCGTCTCAACAACGAACACTCGCAAAGCCCACTCCTGGTTCTATGCGCTAGCGGCGGTCTTGGTTGACAACAGCCGGAGCCTCAGTTTCAGACTCGCGTTGCGAGTCAACTGATTCGGGCGAGCACGGGTTTGAGTGGCACTGAGGGGGGAAGCAAACTCGAACATGGATATCCAAAACCCCTGAGAGGATGGTAAAGGCTGTCCCGCACAAGGTGTGGGAGACATCCCATAAACCTACATCGGGGGTTGGTCAAAAGGTCCTTTACCCGAGGCGACCATTGAAAAAAGCACTCAAAAGATAATATTTCCCACTAATCAAATGGGAATAAGTTAGAAAAAAATGGAGGGCCTAAAGGGAGTATTGATCAACCTCCACATGGAGGGTGGCTACCTTGAACAAAGCACTTTTGGAGGCACTTGAGAATGACCACCAAAGGATTCGCTCCAATTGAATCCCAAAGCCACTCGAGGCACGGGTCTGCTGTGGATCAATCCTTTTCTACAGGCCTTGGGCCAATGGCCTCAATTGCATGCTCGATTTGGGTTCCCCATATTGCCCCTGCTCATGGGTTCCGGATTTTTTTGTTTTGCACATCACCTTTGGGTCGGAATTTAAAAGGACTTGCCAGGCCGCGCGGCGCTGAAAGGTGGGATATTTTGATATAGGGGTCCCCATGACATGGCATCGAGCTTTGATAGGAACATTTTGAGTTGCTAGTGCTCAAAGCGTCTTCAGTTTCAAATCTCATGACGATGCTCCTGAAGGTAAATTCAGAGTCCCTACCAACTCTCCCAATGCTGGCGGGGTAAAGGAATCCAGAAGGCAACCCCGATATTGGCTGTGTGCTTTGCCTAGCATGGGACCCAACAAACCATTGTGTTCGAAGGAACTATTCTTGGGAGATTTCCATGTTATTCAGGTTTCCTTTGATGGCTTGGATTTGCGGTTCGGGGATTTGAACCCCTGGTCCGCGTAGACGGTCAATGGAACAAAAACCACGGAACACTTCCAAGCCACCAACCAAACCACCAACCACTCCGCTGCAAAACATAACCTGGAGGCCCATAAAACCCTCCCATTTGCAGACCTCGGCATCTCCGAATTTGGTTCCTGCTCCTTGGGTTCCATGTCGAAGCGGAAGCAACTGGAGAAAGCCTTGGGCTAAAGCCGCCCATTTGCAGAGAATCTCAGCATTTGGTTGGGACCCCCCTTTTTGCGAACCCGTTCCTTTCCTATGAAGCGGAAGCCACTGGCGGGGAGCCATGCCGCGACCCCTTGTGCTCGCAGGACCTGGAGGTGATGGATACCCAGCTGCCGGAGCCTGGCTTGGGCTCGGGCTCGGGGGAGGGACGCTTCGGAGTGGCTCAATGCCGTGGATGGACGACATGGATGGCACCACCTCAAAAGCCCTGGAATGATTCGATACCAACAAACACGGGCTTCCCATGGTTTCAAAGTGGCGCGAAACTCCCCGAAATAACCGGAAGAACCCCCCCAGAGAAGGATCCCCCCCCAAGAAAAGGAAATTCCTTTTCAAAATGGTGAGTGTTTCGGTTCCATGCCAAAGTAAAACCCTGCCAAGCAGAGAGCCCTACGGTTTAAGCCTACCTTAGTAGCCTTAGTCAAGTGACACCCCGGCATGCTGTCGCCGGTACCTGGCGATCCGGGGACCCGTCAAGGAATTTCCTTCCCAAAGGCATCGACGGATCCGACATCTAGCATGACGACAAAATGGGACCAACCCCGTGATGAATCAAAGGGTTAACAATCCTTGGTTCCCACAACATCCTTCAAACCACTGAGCCCCAAACAACTTTTGGCTCCAACAGATTGCAATTTAAGACAAAAAGACAGGACAGTCCCTTTGTTCAACAATGGCAGCTGATGGACACATTTGGAGGCGCCCGGAAAGTACTGACAGAAGGTCCCTGGCAGGGGAAAATATCTCTTCAAGTCAGTTTCACTTTCCTTCCCGGGCTGCTTTTGGGTTTCAAGTTTGAAGGGAGAGGGAACGCCTGAACCCGCAACCAAGTTGAACAATTGAAAGGGAAAGTGAGGTGTCAACAAATGTTACAGATAGCGGCCCCAACAATTCTTGACACGGTCCACTAGGCTGATTGCAAATTTTGATCACGGCTCACTAGCTTTCCTTAGCACAACGCTTTGGCCGTGATAGAAATATGGCTCACCAGCCATTGTGGCACGGCTCACCGGCACATGGCTCACCAGCTATTGTGGCCAACTCTCTCGGCGGGTTGGAGGGCGCCTGCACCTTTTTGGGTTGGCGTGTTTTTGTCTTCTTCTCCAATTCGGTGTAAAAACATCGCAGGGGGGGTAGGGTCGCAGGGTCCCTTTTTTTTTGGTGCCAGGAGGTGATGAACGAGTTTTTCACATGCGTGGCCTTTGTAATCTCCAGCATCGTGATGTGCACGCTGGTTTCTGTGTACGCGCTGCTGGGGCTGGTGCCTTTGTGCCTGGTCTTCGCCTACATCCGCAGGCGGATCCGGGGTCAACACAACACAATTGAGGGACTTGCAGCCGTAGTAGTTGAGCAGGCTTGGTTCCATGCTTGCTTACCATATTGAGTTCCTTGCCCTTTTGAGGTTTGGCCCTAGAAAAACCCCTCCCCATTCACAATGGCGGGTTTGCGAATGAGCTGAACAGTGAGGGTCAACCTCTCTTTGTTCCAGCAAGGTCTTGCACGACCCACACCGGCCTCGGGCCAAAGAGTCAGGGGCCGAACCGGAGAAGCTAGAAGCTGGCTGGCCGAAACAGACACCCTCAAATGCTTCCCCAGAATTAGCCCCCTTTTTTTTTTGTTGCTTCTTGTGGGGTCCCTTTGTTTTCCACTAACCAGCAAAAAAGATTTTTTTGCTGGAGTCCTATTTCCAGCCTAGAATGGTGGTGCAGAATTGGATTTAACTCAACCTTTGCCGGTGCCAACAATATGCCTCTTCGCAAACAGCCAAGAGGTCTTTCTCCAATCCTCGATTTCGGCCATGGGGTCTGTGCAGAGCGAAATCAAAAAGGACATCCTCTGGTACATGGTGCCATGGAATATACGATGTAAGCGGGATTTGAAGGAATACAAAGGGGTACCATATCTGGTAGTAACAAACACATACATGGTATTATATTGGGATATCCATGCAGGCGCCAAGGAGTACAAAGGGGTCCCATAATATATATATATATATATATATATATGTATGTATATATAATTTACATGTATATGTGTATATATATATATGTATATATCTATAGTTTGTCGGGTCCACTTCTGGACAGCTACCCCGATATTTCCCCCTGAAGGCGGTGCTTCCACTGTGGGTAGCGCCCAGGTATTACACCGCCAGCTTCCGGGAGCTGCAGCGTATGGAATCCATCTCTAGGCCCAACGGGAGAGGCGTACCGTTGATTCAACCAGACCTCCCGTTCTTCGTCCTACTTGGAGGTTTCCTCTAGTTATTACTTTTTTAGAGGTGTCCTCCAGTTCTTCATCCTACAACTTTGGAGGTTTCATGAGGCTTCCCTTTCGAAACAACGACCAAAACGGTATTTGTCCTACGTTTTGGAGGTTTTCAAAGGTGTCACTTGCAAATCAACGACCAAAAAAGGTCGGCTTTTTGTTTTTCGTATGGCCACCTCAGACCTAGGGGGGTCAGAGGATTCGAAGGGAAACCGCCGGGCTCATGACGAAGACCCTTTGCTAGCAGGGCTCTTAGTTGGAGTTGCAGGTTCATCCGGTTGAACTTTGCAGCAATTGATGGTCAGTTTGCGAGTAGTGGGACTCACTAGGTTTCCGGTGTCTGTGCCTGCTGTTTGCCCAGAGGCCGCCCACTACCAGTTGATGAAAATCTGAATCCACCACTGCCAAGACGGCCTTCCGAACGGGACAGGCAAAGTGTTTTCGGGCACCAAGTTTCATCCACACATGTTTTTGTTGTTTCGGCCATGGACACCCTTCCAAGTGGGGAAGAGAAGGGGCCCAATTGCCACCGAGATTTGTGGGCAGTTGGAAAGCGATGCCTCGCAAAAGCTGACACCCCATGCCAAAGCGATGCCGTCTCAGGACCCCACTCTACGTGCTTTTCCAGGAGGTGCTCACAGGATTAGTGCACATCCGCGCGTATGGCCTCCAAAGTCGACGCCCAGCGGTGCATTGTTTGGCTTTTGTTCCCACTGGTGGGAAGATCGTCCTCAATTCGGCGGTTTGGATGATTTGTTTTCTCCATCGGTGGAACCAACAAATAGCCAGGTCATCCGCAATTGGTGGTGTTTTATTGGCGGTTGGGGGGAGGGGCGATCCACCCTTTACCCTCCCAACCGGCCAAGGAAAAACAGGGTAAGGGTAAGCTTTCCTCAGGGGTCGGCGTGGATGGCGCCGGATCGTTTTTGAGGTGAACCGGGCCCCTGGCTTCCTAAGTTCGGAGAAATGTTCTCATCCGAGGCCCGGCGAATCGAGAGGCGCAAAGCAGCCCTTGCACGGGGGGGTGGGGGGTGGGCCATATTTGGGTGCTCAAGGCGTCCTGCAAGGAGAATATGAGGAGCCCCACAAATGGGCGTGTGTTTTTCTCTTTTTTTGGGTGTGCCTTTAAACGAACCGTGAAAATTGCCCCTGAAGACACGCGCGCACACATGTTGCTATGCTCATATACATAAACAAGTGCCTGCCATGTGTGCAATTGCAAATGAATGAAGGAAGGAAGGAAGGAAGGAATGAATGAATGAATAAATAAGCAAATATATTCAAATCGATAAACACATACATACATAGCTACATATATACAAGCAAATAAATATACTAACTGAATAAACACATATATATATATATACACAAGTGCAAACAGATGCCAAAAAAGCGAACCAATGCGTGTGGCTTTTTCCAAGACCCGCGGAAGCCGGCCTAGGAATTCGCGAGGACTTCCTGGCGAAGCTGGATGCCAACAACCGGCGGCTCAGCCGCGTTCGCTCCGAGAGGTTGCCGGGCAACCGCTTCCCAAAAGCGAAATATACGTCGCACAGAGCTGGGCGAATTAGATTCCAAAATAGATTTATCTATATGTATACACAAATGTATGAATTATATATTTAGACCATTTTTTAGGTATGTGTTATATGTTTTGTATGTTGCCCCAGTTCTTTCTCGGGTTCTTGGGCCCTCGGAGGTCAGGTGGTGTTGGCCTACGAAGAAACTGCATGGATATCTTTTCACTGAAAGTATGGTGGAGTAAAACAAGCTCACTCATGATGAAGCTCCCTAGCTAAGGGATTTTCCAATGCATTTGAGTGTTGCGGGTGGTGTGTGTGTGTGTGTGTTAGTGTATATAATGGTGTGCTTGTGGGTTTGTATGTGTGTGTGTGTGTGTGTGCGCGTTTGTTTGTGTTGGTGTGTGTGTGTGTGCGCGTTTGTTTGTGTTGGTGTGTGTGTGTGTGTGTGCGTGTATGCGTCGGTCTGCTTGTGTGAATGTTTGTCTCTGTGCGCGCGCGCGAGCGTGTGTGTGTGTGTGTGTGTGTGGGTGCGTGCGCGGGTGCGGGTGCGGGTGCGGGTGCGGGTGCGGGTGCGGGTGTGGGTGTGGGTGTGGGTGTGGGTGTGGGTGTGGGTGTGGGTGTGGGTGTGGGTGTGTGTCTGTGTGTGTGTGTGTGTGTGTCTGTGTGTGTGTGTGTCTCTGTGTGTGTGTCTCTTTGTGTGTCTGTGTGTGTGTGTGTCTCTGTGTGTGTGTGTGTCTGTGTGTGTGTGTTTGTGTGTGTGTGTGTGTGTTTGTGCTTGTGCTTGTGTTTGTGTTTGTGTTTGTGTGTCTGCGTGTGTGTGTCTGTGTGTCTGTGTGTGTGTGTGTGTCTGTGTGTGTGTGTGTCTGTGTGTTTGTCTGTGTGTGTGTGTGTTTGTGTTTGTCTGTGTGTGTGTGTTTGTGTGTGTGTGTGTGTGTCTGTGTGTGTGTCTGTGTGTGTGTGATTGTGCGTGTCTGTGTGTCTGTGCGTGCCTGTGCGTGCAACCACGCTTCCTTTCCAACCCAAACCTAACACTCAAAGTCATTCCGGGAGTTAGACTGTGCTGATGAATGCTCAGAAGTCGTGATGGCCTGAGAAATGACGCCATGGAGGATGGTTCATTCGATTTGTTTCAAACTCCAGGCTTCTGAGGACTGAGGCCTTACGGGCTTGAATTTGGGTCTGAGTGCCGCAAGTGGATTAGTCTCAATATGGAGTGGCGGGAAGCCACAAGACGCGTGCGCGCAAACCGAGGGCAGGTGTGGGCATCCGTATTCACATTTTTTAAATATGTGTTAATCCCTTGTAAGATTAACAAAACTCAGCCAATGCAATAGGATTTTATGATGAACGGATGCCGGATTTGCGTGATCTCTTGAGCTAGTTCCAAACTATTTAGCCCACTTTTCTTCGGACCAGAATCGCATATGATTTGAGGTCGGGAAAAACTGAAGTGGGGGGCATCCCCTCAATGTCAATGTTCGAATCATATGCCTCTCCAAACCAACCCCCAGACAGGTTTTTGCGGATCGAAGCTTTGCTTGCGCCGGCGTCTGAGGATGTTCTTCCACCTCCACTCGTTGGTTCCTTTTCTGGTTTTCCGGGTGAACTTCATTGCAGCGGCCTTCATCACCGTGATGACGGGCTTGGATTCTAGGCTCTATTTTTTCGGCATGCGGACAGAGAAGCTGACTGGAATTGGGGGAAGGACGTGCTAACGGAATTTCACTCAAGTTTGGAGCCAGGGGAGAAGGGAGAGTTGAACTGAACCCCTGGAATAATTCAGCAACTAGTTGGTGATTGGCAAGGAGCAGCTGGCGTATCCAGAGGGAGCCCTCAGGTGCCGGAAGTGGGTGGGCTTGCCTTCTTTCTGAGGGGATCCTGGTGGCATTTTGTGTGGCGCCCTGATTTGGATATCCCCACCACTTGGGAAGATTTGCACCATTGGCGCCATGTCTTGGCACTAAAGGCACTGAGATTCATTAACATCACCGCTGCCCTTGTTAGCAGCAAAGTCATTGGGTAGCAATGCCCGGGCGCTGCGCATCATCTCACCAGCACCCCCTTGCTGGCAAAGTTGTTGGGTAGGAATGCCAGAGCTCCATCATCAGCATCACCAATGGTTCCTTCTTGGAAAATGGACGACCAGTCAGTTTCAATAGGAGGCTTCTCAGAAACGTGGGCCTCAAAATCGTTGGTCTTCGTTTTAACGTCTTCCATTTGCTGAAGCATTTGTTTTCCCCTGGTGGTTTTAAAACGGAATATACCTACCACTACTGGACCGATTTTCTCATTTTTTGCAAGGGGTGGAAAACGCACATGTTGGTTTTCCTTGCAACCAGGTGATTTCGCCTCCGTTTCGAGGTGATCTTCTTCGGGCGTCAGCTGGACGCCGCCTTGACGGGCCTGGCGCTCTCCGCGTCGGCGGGGCTCATTGGGCGACTGCATCAGAGCCTCGGAGCGGATTGGGGCGCTGGCGGATTGGTGCACCGGAACAGCTCAGAGATGGGAAGCAAGCTGGGCTCGGAACTGCACCTGACAGAGGGTCGCTTAGAGGAAACTTATATTCCAGGTTTTCTCCCACAGGTGCTATGCTGAGGGAGGGGTATCCAAATAGCTAAAGCCAAGAGGGGCTATTGTGCCAGAGCCCGTGAAGTAGCACGACTGGTGGGCAACGGGTGCATGGTGTCACCTATCACCCGTGTTGTGTTTCTTTGCGCAGCCTTGAGCGCATCTCGAAGAAGGTGCAATTTTCGCCAATGACTACGTCGACCACGTGACCAGGGGTGAAGGGCAGCAAATGATGCCCTTGTCAACCAATGTCAAGACGTTCTTGGACCCAGGGCCTTACTCACCTCTTACTTGACGGTTGGGCTCACAAGCGTTCGAAGATTTGATCAACTCATCAACTCACAAACGTGTTTTGTGTGTGTGTCTCAAAATGGGGGCCAATTCCAAGTGGTTGTTTCGTTTGGGTTATGCTTCCCAGCATGGACCAAAGCACCAGCCACCAGCTTTACAAACACCTAAGTTTCCCGCAAAGGGTTCCCCTGTTTTTGAAGACATACCCCCACGCTACTGCAACATTTTTGAAGACACCCCCAAGTTACTGCAAACCAATGATTGGACTCTGAACTGCTAGACTGCTAGACATCTTGAAGCATACCTTGAATTCGGGTCAAACTACAAATCTACCGCAAGCAAAGGTTGCCATGTTGACTTTCAATTTTAGCGAAAAGTTAGAGGATCTTAGAGCCATAGCCATTTCCCCAACAGGGGGTTTAAACCGAGGATGGGTTACCCTCTTTGCCACATGGAAGGCAGAAGGCCTCCACCGCGCCTTCCAAATGCGGATGTCAGCTTCCATTGGAAGGGTGGATTTCTCACACTGGTGGATCCCCCTCTTGGTTGGACTTTCAAGAAGCCACGAGGAAAACTGGCCATCTTGAGAACCTTCCGCCCATTATCCCCAAAAACCAAAGCAACGCCACCAAAAAAGGACCACCTCTTTGCGGGGCACCCGGGCAAAACCGCCGCCCCCCCCCCACCCTGCCCCTTCCCCCCGGCGTTTCTCCCGAGACCCGCGGATCTTCGAAGCGAGGACGGTGAAGACCTCCGCGGACGTGGAGAGCTCCTTCACCTCGGTGGAGCGACTGCCCCCCGCCGACTCGCGTGGGGGAGGGGGGGGGCACGTCGTTTCTCACATCCCTGCCATTGGCTGAAATGTTTGTTTTGTGTTTTTTGTTGTTTTTTTTTGTGGGGGGGGTTCTTAACATATATTATATGTATATATGCACACATGTATGCATTTCCATGGTTGGTTATATACTTATATATATATATATGTCACGTGAAGGTTGTTGTTTTTGTTTCTTGTTTTCCCTGGTTGGTTTTAAAAGGGCATCGATTTCAGGAGAAGATGTGGGCCACATTCCCAACCACAAATTCCCGTGTTGCCACGTAACCAGTGACGTGTTGGGAGGGTACTGGCCATCCCGAGTTTCTGGAAGACCGGCAATGGTGTTGTTGGAATAAGACTCTGTTACTCACAAAGGTTTGGACATTGAACCCCGTGAGATGTATTCAACAGGCGTTGCAATCTTGCTCTTCAAGCCCCAGCGCACAGTGGCGGTCGCTAAGCTCGTTTGGGCCTTTATATTCGGGCTTGCGCCCTTAGGTCAGGAAGGCTCACTCCCCGAGTTCCTGGAACTTTTCTTTTTTTTGGTTTGGACCATTTAGTGGTACAAGCAAAAAGTTTGCAATTTTTCTGACCCATCAACTCAGGAAGTGAGTTGGCCCCAAAGCGGTTTTGGTACAAGGCCGCCCCGGCCTGACGTGCGAAACGGGGGGCGTTCGCTGCTTGCACTAGGCAACACTTTCACGGCATCGAGCAGGAGAAGCAGGTGGGCTCGACCGCCTTCCGGTGAGGTTCACCAACCAAACCTCCCCCCCCGTCGTATGGTGGACGCTGGGAGTCTACTTTGCGACCTCCTTTTTGTAGGGTATTGGTTTCTTTTGGGCTATTGCTTTGTTAGGGTTCCTGGTTGCAGAATCAATCCTGTCCATGGCTCCCCCACCGGGGTAGACTTAGGTTTGGGGCCAACCCAACCCAAACCCACGGGCGGGCTTTACCATCTATGAAGATGCGTTTGTTTTTGTATCTTCTACAGGGGGTTCCGAAAATTGACCCGGGCGACAGCCCTTTGCTAATTTATGTTCGGTTCTTTTGGAACTCCAATTTTTGGTGCGCAGGTTATGTCGGGCCCCATAAGCCCGTTCTATGGCCATCCTCAAATCCTAAGGGCGGAATCATGCTGTTTGACCCCGACCGTTCCATTCTGTGGAGGGTTTGTCCGAATTGGAGATCGTTTCCCAAGAAAACCCCTGGCAGATGGCATGTCAGTGTTTATGTAGCGTGTTTTTTGGAATGTCAGCGAAGTTGCTAAGATACCCTTGCGACACACGACAGACTCAGACTTTGGAGGCTGCTGCGCAAGCCAAAGGCGAATACAGGATGAAGGGGTTAGCATATGCGCATGTATAGAGGGCATGTGTATGCATCATGCATGTGAAATGGTGACTAAACGATGGATACAAAACCTTGTCAACATATTTGGACAGATCCTGACGAGCAAATGAGCATGACGGTCAGCTACTTGGCGATTCCCAATTCTTGGTTTGTGCATTCTCGGCATTGGCCTGGATATGTGCCTGTGCATAAGTATCGCATGCACGTTTGGATGTATATTCATGTCCTTACATATGTGCCTAATTACATAGACATACTGTGAATGAACGAAATCCTGCACCACTTTGAAGCCAATGGAAACCATTGTTGGTTGGCATCTACAGGGGGGATGCAATCATGCCAGGAAACCTGGATAACATATATATATATATACATATCATACATTTATATATACACACACATATATATATATATGTGTATATCCCGAAGGGCGCACTTCCAGGCGCCGTTTTGCGCAGGCGAAACGCGAACCTCTGTTCTTTGACCTTCAGCAACAAGCCTTTTTGGTCAGCCCAAGCACCCTGTAGCAGAGGCTTCCCGTGGGCGTGCTTACTACCATGTTGTGATGTGGGATTCATTGAACAGAGGGTTCCCTTGGGCGCGCTGTATTTACTTTTGGTACAAGCGGGGCCTCCTTTCTCTTCTGGCTGTGATCTTGACCACTGCAAACATCTGCTGCAAAAGCAACCGCCACGACCACAGGGGCAAACATAGCTATTGCAGCCCATGACGAACCCCTGGCCGAACCAACTTCCAGGCGATCAGCAGCCCTTAAGGCAGGTTGCGGCAATCAAGCGTCATCACATGAACCCGTCAAAAATGAGAACGTTCCAGAACTGGCCGATTTCATTGTATTCTACACAATCAGCAAGAGTCCTGCAAAAGGCTGACGAAAATAACGCGTTGTTTTCGTCAAGAAGTCCACTTGGAACTGCCTGCAAATGACTGGCAGGGTGCATGCAAACAACGAAAAGTATAACATGGGGGGTGCCTGCAAATGCACCCGTGAGAAACAAGAGGAGCCCGGGCAAAAGCAAACCAGCCTAACTCCCCACAGCATGTGGATCCCGTTGTTTTCCGGCTCAAGGGTCCGAAGGCAAACCAAGATTTAAGTTGTTCACAGTTGGGAAATCAACCCCAAAACAGGGAGCAACCGCGACTCAAGCCGGATTGGCAGCCAGCAGCCTGTGCTCTGACCAAGCACAGAGAAAAAGGCAAAGGCACGGGTGAAACATGACAGGCCCCGCACTACATGGAAGGCACGAAGTCATCCGATTCATCATGAAGAACCAATCGCAGAAATCCGAAAATGGCTCCGCACAAACTACCACTCCCAAATTGGAAGCAAGGCATAAGCTCGCGCTACACCCATCTGAAACAAGTCTGAGACACAGTGTTACAACACGATCTGAGTAGACCGGGGTCAGCTGTTCGGATGTTCATGCGCCCTTATGTTGGGGCCGAGTGTGCTCAGCATATTCATGTCAACGTGCTTCCAGGCTGCTTCCAAATAAGTAGGGCGAGTCCCAAGAGGCCACAGACTCTGAAGAGAGGGTTCGTCCTAGAAACACATTGGCGCCATTTGTTCGGGTCAGGTGTGCGGCAAAAAGGACAATTTTGGCGTGCCTGGAACGCCGGGCTGTTCACATGGAGCCGTGCACGTGGCCTTCACAAACTTGCTTTGTAAGCTTGCTTGGATTCGTTAGTTTCTCCACCTATTTTCCCATTCGCAACCAATGGCAACTGGTTACTTTGTGGAAAGGGCCGCGCACGTTGTCAATTGGATGCGTGTGGATGGCAAGTTGGGTGGATTCGCCGCAGGTGTGTGGAGACGGGGCCGGCGCTGCGCTTTTGCGGGGTGCTCGGTGTGGACAAGCCTCGATCACTTGGTGGACACAGTGTTACCACGATCTGCGTAGACCGGGGTCAGCTGTTCGGATGTTCATGCGCCCTTTTGTTTGGGCCGAGTGTGCTCAGCACCTAGAGATTCGTTGCGGCAGAAATTTCTGCCGCAATTCAAAAAAGGCGCCTTTTTGGATTTGCGGCATTTCTTCCTGATTTGCGGCGTTTTTTAGAATTGCGGCAGAACTTGTTTTCAGTTTTTCTCCCCCCCGATTTGCGGCGGAAATCGGCGGGAATGCGGCGGAAATCGGCGGGAATGCGGCGGAAATTCCCGGAAAGCAAACAGTGCTGCGGCGTTTTTGTTTTGGTTGCGGCGTTTTTCTTTGTTTGCGGCTGATTTTCTGGAATGCGGCGGGAATTTCCGCCGCAATGCGTTGCGGCAGAAATTTCCGCCGCAGGAAGTTCTAGGTATTCATGTCAACGTGCTTCCAGGCTGCTTCCAAATAAGTAGGGCGAACCCCGAGGCCACAGCTTCTGAAGAGAGGGTTCGTCCTAGAAACACATTGGCACCATTTGTTTGGGTCAGGTGTGCGGCAAAAAGGACAATTTTGGCGCACCGGGAACGCCGGGCTGTTCACATGCAGCCGTGCACGTGGCCTTCACAAACTTGCTTCGTATGCTTGCTTGGATTCGTTAGTTTCTCCACCTATTTTCCCATTCGCAACCAATTGCAACTGGTGACTTTGTGGAATGGGCCGCACACGTTGTCAATTGGATGCGTGTGGATGGCAAGTTGGGTGGATTCGCCGCAAGTGTGTGGAGACGGGGCCGGCGCTGCGCTTTTGCGGGGGGCTCGGTGTGGACAAGCCTCGGTCACTTGGTGGGCGAAACAAGTCTGAGACACAGTGTTACCACGATCTGCGTAGACCGGGGTCAGCTGTTCGGATGTTCATGCGCCCTTTTGTTTGGGCCGAGTGTGCTCAGCATATTCATGTCAACGTGCTTCCAGGCTGCTTCCAAATAAGTAGGGCGAACCCCAAGAGGCTACAGCTTCTGAAGAGAGGGTCCGTCCTAGAAACACATTGGCACCGTTTGTTCGGGTCAGGTGTGCGGCAAAAAGGACAATTATGGCGTACCTGGAGCGCCGGGCTGTTCACATGGAGCCGCGCACGTGGCGGTTGCCGCATGTCATGAGCGTCCACCTCCACCGCGCCAGTCTCGCTCGCCGGCATGTCACGAGCGTCCACCGCGCCAGTCTCGCTCGCGGGCGGTTTCCGCATGTCACGAGCGTCCACCGCGCCAGTCTCGCTCGCGGGCGGTTTCCGCATGTCACGAGCGTCCACCGCGCCAGTCTCGCTTGCGGGCGGTTTCCGCATGTCACGAGCGTCCACCGCGCCAGTCTCGCTCGCGGGCAGTTTCCGCGTGTCACAAGCGTCCACCGCGCCAGTCTCGCTCGCGGGCGGTTTCCGCCTGTCACGAGCGTCCACCGCGCCAGTCTCGCTCGCGGGCGGTTTCCGCATGTCACGAGCGTCCACCGCGCCAGTCTCGCTCGCGTGCGGTTTCCGCATGTCACGAGCCTCCACCGCGCCAGTCTCGCTCGCGGGCGGTTTCCGCATGTCACGAGCGTCCACCGCGCCAGTCTCGCTTGCAAACCGTTTCCGCATGTCACGAGCGTCCACCGCGCCAGTCTCGCTCGCGAGCGGTTTCCGCATGTCACGAGCGTCCACCGCGCCAGTCTCGCTCGCGGGCGGTCTCCGCATGTCACGAGCGTCCACCGCGCCAGTCTCGCTCGCGGGCGGTTTCCGCATGTCACGAGCGTCCACCGCGGCAGTCTCGCTCGCGGGCGGTGTCCGCCTGTCACGAGCCGCCGCGGCAGTCTCGCTCGCGGGCGGTTTCCGCATGTCACGAGCGTCCACCGCACCAGTCTCGCTGTCTCGCTCAGGGGCGGTTTCCGCATGTCACGAGCGGTCACTGCGCCAGTCTCGCTCGCGGGCGGTTTCCGCATGTCACGAGCGTCCACCGCGCCAGTCTCGCTCGCGGGCGGTTTCCGCATGCGGGCGGTTTCCGCATGTCACGAGCGCCCACCGCGCCAGTCTCGCTCGCGGGCGGTTTCCGCATGTCACGAGCGTCCACCGCGCCAGTCTCGCTCACGGGCGGTTTCCGCATGTCACGAGCGTCCACCGCGCCAGTCTCGCTCGCGGGCGGTTTCCGCATGTCACGAGCGTCCACAGCGCCAGTCTCGCTCGCGGGCGTTTTCGCATGTCACGAGCGTCCACCGCGCCAGTCTCGCTCGCGGGCGGTTTGCGCATGTCACGAGCGTCCACCGCGCCAGTCTCGCTCGCGGGCGGTTTCCGCATGTCACGAGCGTCCACCGCGCCAGTCTCGCTCGCGGGCGGTTTCCGCATGTCACGAGCGTCCACCGCGCCAGTCTCGCTCGCGGGCGGTTTCCGCATGTCACGAGCGTCCACCGCGCCGGTCTCGCTCGCGGGCGGTTTCCGCATGTCACGAGCATCCACCGCGCCAGTCTCGCTCGCGGGCGGTTTCCCCATGTCACGAGCGTCCACCGCGCCGGTCTCGCTCGCGGGCGGTTTCCGCCTGTCACGAGCGTCCACCGCGCCAGTCTCGCTCGCGGGCGGTTTCCGCATGTCACGAGCGTCCACCGCGCCAGTCTCGCTCGCGGGCGGTTTCCGCATGTCACGAGCGTCCACCGCGCCAGTCTCGCTCGCGGGCGGTTTCCGCATGTCACGAGCGTCCACCGCGCCAGTCTCGCTCGCGGGCGGTTTCCGCGTGTCACGAGCGTCCACCGCGCCAGTCTCGCTCGCGGGCGGTTTCCGCATGTCACGAGCGTCCACCGCGCCAGTCTCGCTCGCGGGCGGTTTCCGCATGTCACGAGCGTCCACCGCGCCAGTCTCGCTCGCGGGCGGTTTCCGCTGTCACGAGCGTCCACCGCGCCAGTCTCGCTCGCGGGCGGTTTCCGCATGTCACGAGCGTCCACCGCGCCAGTCTCGCATGTCACGAGCGTCCACCGCGCCAGTCCAGTCTCGCTCGCGGGCGGTGTCCGCATGTCACGAGGGTCCACCGCGCCAGTCTCGCTCGCGGGCGGTTTCTCGCATGTCACGAGCGTCCACCGCGCCAGTCTCGCTCGCGGCGGTTTCCGCATGTCACGAGCGTCCACCGCGCCAGTCTCGCTCGCGGGCGGTTTCCGCATGTCACGAGCGTCCACCGCGCCAGTCTCGCTCGCGGGCGGTTTCCGCATGTCACGAGCGTCCACCGCGCCAGTCTCGCTCGCGGGCGGTTTCCGCATGTCACGAGCGTCCACCGCGCCAGTCTCGCTCGCGGGCGGTTTCCCATGTCACGAGCGTCCACCGCGCCAGTCTCGCTCGCGGGCGGTTTCCGCATGTCACGAGCGTCCACCGCGCCAGTCTCGCTCGCGGGCGGTTTCCGCATGTCACGAGCGTCCACCGCGCCAGTCTCGCTCGCGGGCGGTTTCCGCATGTCACCATTTTTCGCTCGCGGGCGGTTTCCGCATGTCACGAGCGCGCCAGTCTCTCTCGCTCGCGGGCCAGCCTCGCGCACCCAGTCTGCACCACACCGCCGTCCCACCAGCCAGCCCCACACCGCCGTCCCCCCAGCCAGCCTCGTACGCCCGGTCTGCACCCCCAGCCGGCATCGCACGCCCGGTCTGCAGCACAACGAAATGGAAATCCCTTCTTATCTCCGTCGTCACAGCTTGTATCGCTCCCAGGCACCTTAAGAGAAAACCTAAAGCAGAACCCAAGCATCAGAGATGCTTTTGGGAAAAATATATGTATGGGCCTGGACCGGTAGGCGGAAGCTGAAGCTGAAGCCGGCGCAGACTGGCCGTTTGTGGGGAAGCTGGTCTTTGAAGAGGCGCCGATTGGAAGACGCCAGTTGGAGGGGTCCGGTCGGGTTTCCTATACTTCCCTTGATTCAAATTGTTTCTTTCCCTGGAGTAGTATTCCGGGGTCAACATTAATTGCCATAGTTGAGCAAAGCGTGATGTTCATGTAGGGTAGGTGAATTTTAAAGGAACAGATAAGGAGCTCTGAAAACGGGCCCCTGAAGGATACAGATTAGCCAGTTCAAATATTACATTTCCACCAGGCCAAGGAAATAACTGGTCATCTCTTCTCCGGAGCCATGTTCAGGTAGATAAGAGAGGAACCCGTGAGTCTGACTGGGAAAATGGTCATGGTTTGGACACTGTTTAATTTAAAAGCGACCCTTTGGAGCTGACCCTTTGGAGCTTTCCACGTCAATGAGCACTCTTTCCCGAAGTCCGGCCTGTTCTCTGCGGCCCCCATAGCAAAAAGGGAGTGTCCGTTCTTTCCGGTACCCGTTAAGCATTTTGCCCAGCTTGGGCCATGTTTAGAAATGAGCCCAAAAGAAACATCTTGTTGTTGCTGGTCTTTGGGGCAAGTGGGTGTGGCTTTTGTAATTCGTTTGGTTTCCTTTTTGGACCCTTTATGTTCGCCATCCTGTTTTCTGAGTTTGTTGAGCTTTTCAGTTTAAACAAATCTCATACTACTAAGTGTTTGAGAACCTGAGACTTCTCAACCTGCAAAAACCGGCAGGCCAAGCCAAACCCTACCCTCCCACCAACATTGAAGTGCACAGACCCCCTTTCTCAGAGGAAAGTTGCCTTTCTGTAGAAAGCTGTGCACCAAACTGTGGAATCGTCGGTTTTTTTGGTGAGTTTCGAAGTTCTGGCAACCCAAGTGATGTGCAACCAAACCAGTGATGCTTCCATTTGTTTCAGCTTTTGTTGCTTTATTTTCCCTGTTGGATTCAAAGGCAATCTATCACGACTGGAAGTATTTTCTCATTGGTCCAGTGGACGAACAAGCAAAAGGAGGGATGTCATTTCTGGGGCGGCTTGAGGTACAGCTGCGGTATCGCCCGCATTTGCCGCTGGCGCCCTGGCGAGATCGGTTCTATGCTGTGGGTCAAAACCAATGGTACCAGTTTGTCTATCTTAGTGGGAATTGGGATGTTCACTGGGGTACGGGGTTTTGACCCATGGCCATATAAATCCTTGCTTATTTAGTAGGGGCGTGGGGGGCCCTCCAAAAGTTGTCTGAGTGTCCGCAAAAACCAGGGACATCCCCATATTAACAAACAGGGGTTTATTAATCCATATTCATTCGGGGTCAAGATTAGGCGGGAGCCGCAAGTTGTCTAGGAAACGGTTTGGATGTGCTTTCTGTGGTTTCCCCATGTTGTTTGGCAAGTTGTTCCTCTTTTAATACTCTTTTAGTCCACCCTTGCTATCCTACAAGGGTGGATCCACAAAAAACGCATCCAAACCGTTTCCTAGAAGTTGGTGGAGGTGTGCTCGGTGGGATTCCATCCTTGAAGTTCCTGATTGCTTGGTTTGCAGGTCCCCCCTATGCGGGCAGAATGTTCATCCCAGATTCCACCCAGCCGGGATATGGCTGAACATCCGCAGGGTAGGGAAATAAGGGCCGGGTCCTGAAGATCTCCGGAGCCACCTGGGCGCAAACGGCAAACCCATGGGTTTACCTGAGGGATCTCTTTTGAAGCTGTAAGTTCTAAGGTCAAGTAGTACGGTCTGCTGAATATGGCCCAGCATCAGCCTAAGTTTTTTGGTTGATAGAAGCATCAAGTCGAGACTCACTCGCATGCCGATGGCAAGCCAGCAAGGAATCAACCATGAAGGGTTGGCGCCCCTCAAGCAATGGTAGATTGTGAGTGTTCCGCCAGCTGAAGCCTTCCCTCTAGAATGGGACACCCTTCCTAGTAATCAAACGTGTTTCCGAATGATTCCCTTTTTTCCGTGCTGGAAGAACCGGCGGCTGTCCAGCGGCCTGCGCCTTTTGGAGGTGGGTTGATTCTTGTTGCTTTCACGCTTGAAGTGTTTTTTCATTTTGTTGATGGACATCGTCAGATTGTTTTGTAACTGTTTCAACAGCCATGGGACCAAGTAGGCCGCTGATAGGTTCAGTTCGAAAAGGGGCCAACGCGCAAGTGCCTAGGGTAGGCCTAGGGTAGGCCTAGCTCCTGCAGACCTCAGGTAGAGGTATGTAGAGGTTGGGTTTTGCCCGCTTCCCTTTCCACCTGATGTAATTCAAGAGTTGCCCTCCCAACCCTGAAGCAGGAAATGTGAAAGCTGTGCCTGGACCTTTCTGGCATGGCCAGGTGCGCCTTGACTTGGGTCTCAAAATGGTTTGTCACCCTTTTGCAACCCTGAAGGGTGCGCACCTTTGGCGTTGCTCTTAAAGTCACATAGGCCTCAATAGGCGATGAAAGCGCACCTTTGAGTAGCCCTTTCGGAGGTCTATGAGAAGGACAATGTCTTAAGGGTCTCCTCATTTGGCGGGCGTGTCTCTCGGTTTTTTGAGGGGTGCCCTTTTTGTTGCCGCTCTTCAGGGGAATCAAACCCGACAGGGGGGCTCCGCTCCGTTGCGCCATTTTGGGGGAGGGGTCGCCCACAAAATTCTAGGGCTTGATTCCTTTTCCATTCTGTTCAGCCATCGTTCTTTTCAAAAACCAGCCGTTTTTGCAGGGTTTTTGGTGGTTTTCTAGAAAGATCCGGATCCCTGGGTTCAGAATGGAAATGGAGGTTAGCCCTAGGATCTTTTGAATGTCTACCACAAAAGGGGCCACAAGGACCAAGACGTGCAAGGCAGCGCCAGTTTTTGGGATCCGTCCGCCGGCGGTCGCAGAGGTGCTGCGCCAGATCTCCTTCAACGTCCTCGGGGGCCAAAGGGTGGGCCTCATCGGACGCACGGGCAGCGGCCGCGCGGAGAGAAATAAACGGCCCAAACCGGAGATCGGGCGGATGTTGGTTCGCCGTTGCAACGGCGAACCAAACAATAAAAAATGCAACGGAAGCACGGCCGCCCGGAGAAGATTCAGACGGATGTCGGCAGATGTTTTTGCGTTGCAACGGCCCAAGTTCAAAAAAAGCAACGACGAAAACAGGGCCTGGGCGGTTCAAAGGCAATCCGTAAGATCCAGATCCCACCCCCCAAGGGTTAAAGTTGAGCAGCTCACGTCCCTTTCTGATCCTTTCCTTTGAGTTAAAATGATCCCCTGTGTGGCCAATTCCGATCGGGATTATGGATTGGCCAATGCTTCAGCTTGAACAGCCAGGGGATGGACCAGGGGGTCTTGTTGAGGTTCCAGCGAAATTCGTTGGGTCTGGACTTGTTTGAGCCTTCTTTGTGGTTGGGCGGGGGCCCCCCAAAAAAACACACATACATTTGGCCTTAGCTTATTTCTAGTGGTGCATGGTTGCGGGAAATATGGGTCTTTGAGGTTGCCAGGTTGTGTGATGCCAGGAAATCTTTACAGTAGTCATGCAGGCGACCCACTTCGGTATCTTCGAACTTCTTATTTCCCACAGTGTTTCCCAATGTCATTTCAGCGATTCCTGGGTGCAAATGGCTATCTCAATTTCACTTGGGCCTCAAATCGGTGTGAACTGCTTGTGACTTGTGCATTTCTTTCGGGGAAGCCTGCCATGCAAACCCAGGAATCTGGGGGCGTCTTTCGTGGGAATCCCTGGCTTGCGGCTTCACCCTTATTTTTTTTCCTTCCCGATTTGTATCGTGAGGGGACATTCCCCTGCGAAGCAAGTTCATTCTTCCCACCCCCGAAACTCGCGGCTTGGATTGGGTTTGGATTTGAGTTGCTGCGCCTGCTCGCGCTCTGAGAGTCAATGCTCGCAGCGAAAACCCCGTGAAACTAAACCCCCGATTCTTGAAGTGCTGGTTCTTGTCGGTACATGCGGTTTCCACCACCAAAGCCACCGGTTCGGCTCCGCCAGCGCCTGGGAAGCCGAGGCAAGAGCACCATGATGCTGGCGCTGCTGCGCCTGGTGGAGCTTTCCGGAGGCGGATAGAGACGGCGGGTTTCGGATAGAGGGGGCCGAACGGGAGCTGCCCAATGCTTTCAGCAGGGAAGGAGCCGAATCCACTTTCCGCCACTTTCAGGAGCCTTTGCATGGAGCTTGGTAGGCACATGTAGGCGCTTTACCAGGTCTTGGTTGTCTGACTCGACTGGCAATATTTTTGTCTACCGTTGGTTTGGGGAAGACGGGGGAAGCCCATGTCTTGCAGAAATCCAAAGGAAAACTTCCCGGTTTTGAGGGTTCCGCTATTTTGACAGAAAACAAATCGTGGTTGGGTTGATATCTTGAATGGTTTACCACAGATACAACCTGGAAATTGCCCAAAGCATCCTTGGACCTCTTTCTTTTTGGGCCTTTGGTGGCCAAAAACAGCAAACACTGGTCAACCTCGAATTTACCCTCCCACCAAATAGCATGGAACCTGACGTTCGGGGGGTCCTAGAAGACAATTTTCCTTTTAAGGGACATTGTTAATTGGTGGGAGCGTTGGCCTCATGCACAAAAACGGATCAAGCGCGCGGCAGGCATGACCTTCCTCTTGCACCGGGGGGTGGCGCATGGGTGGCAAGCGAAGAAGCGCAGGCCGGATCCTGCTGGATGGGAAGGACCTCGCCCAGGTACCGCTGAAACTGCTGCGGGGCCATGCGGTGGCGATTATCCCGCAGGAGGGGGAATCCATATCTGCTGATTTGATTGCGTGCTCACTCGGGGGCTCAATAAACATGGTATAAAAATATATTATGTTTTTGGGTATGAATGGCAGACAGGCAGATATACTCAGATGCTTGTACACATACAATTATAAGCCAGCCACCGCGCACTTCCGCCCAGGACCCATTCCTCTTCGCTGGCACCCTGCAAGAAAACCTGGACCCCTTTGGCACCTTGGATGCGGATCCAGAGCTGGGGTGGGTGGAAAGGCGGGGAAAACCAACAGCTCAAACCTGTATGTGTGTGTGTACAGGGGATATGACATGAGCGTTTTAGGCTGGTTTCACTTTGGTATGTTTGGACTTGGCATGCCCAACAGGTCGACCTATGCCGATAGTGAAGTTAGTCTCCAGACGCATCCAGCGGCCAACGCGGGCTTCCACACGTGTTGCTTTGACCGAAAGCTGAGAGGCAATGAGGGCGTGTCTCCAGTTGGGGGAACTTTGAAAAGATTCGCGTTGTTCCATTGGCTTCCTCTTGAAGCAAATGGGTCCCCAAGAGGGTACCCTGAAAAAGAGAGACAGCCATAGCCCTCCCGCAGCATCGGGTCGGGGCATGGTTGAAACAAGCCCTAATTGCCGGCTCAGGGTGGCGGCAGTGCGCTAGCCGCTAGCAGGTTCTTTGCTTGTTGTTTTTGTTTGGCGCATTTTCCCTTCCAGCTGTGACTGGGGCCTCACAACAGCCGTATTCGTTTTCGGGATGAATTCACATGAATCTGGAGGTTCACAGACGGGGGCTCATGGCATTTTGTGTGCGTTCGTGCGTTGGCCTTTGAACACCTACGAGTGCAGGATGAACCCCCAAGGCGAACTGGACGTGGCACTTGAAGTGTCAGCATCCAATAGGCACACAGCCTTTGCGAGAGCGAACCTGGATAGCTACGAGAGGCGAACAGCAATCAACGTTCTAAGGGCGCCGCCGTTTGGGACATTTTGGAACCGTCTCTTCACCTGGGCTGAAATGATGTGGCTTTGCTGGAAGGGGGTTAGATCTCCATCCCCAAAGCAACGCATGGAATCAAGCTGAATAAAGGCCCCCTCCCCACAGTTGACTTTTTAGGGAATTAGAAGGGGAAATGCACAAGTGACGTGTTTCCCTCTCTGGGTTCCTCTCTCACACATGGGATGACACCTGAGTGCAGACTATGTCCGCACAACACCTTAATAATTTGGACAAGTTTGGGTCATCGCCACAGGGCGTCATCCCAGGGTGGAATTTGACGTTCATTCCCACAACGTTATGCAGAAGTGGCCGCAACTGTCCGCTAAGTTCCGGCGATGCGGCTCGCAGCCTGAGGCCGGTATAGCGAGCGGGAGCAGCTGGAGGCGTTGCGGCTTGCAGGCCTCGATGTGGAGGAGGCTGGGGGGTTGCGGGGGGGGGGGATGCTGGTGGGATCAACCCATAGCTTCCATTTGCTGAATTTCCCTCTTAAAAATGAAACAACAACCTGTTGGTTTAAAGATCATCTATCACATTCGATGTGAGGGCCTGAGCGCGCCCGTGCGGAGCCGCGGCTCTAACTTTTCCGCGCCCTGGCGAAGAGACCCAGCGCGCGCGGGCGGGCGGGGGCGCTCTGACTCCGTCACCTTTCACATTCTCAAAGGATGCACCCTCAAAGAACACATCTGAGAACCAAGTTCATTTGGGATGACCCGTTTTGGATGGATCCTCAAAAGCTTCCATTTGCTGAAATGAATATGTTCGGTTTTTAGAGGGGATCCATTTCACTACTGGACATATTTTCCGATTTGTGCCAGGGGACGAGAAAGCAATTGGAAGCATGGGGATCCAGTTGTTTAGGTCCTGGCATCTGGGCATTAGTATATAAGGCGTCATGGTCCAAATTGCGGCATCTGGTTCCTGTGGCTATGGAGGAGGTCCATCCTTGGACAGGCCCAGGGCTGCCCTGAACCCTCAGTGAAGTTTCATCAAGGAATTCGTATGAAAATCGGACCTCCCCCTAGGCTTCCCTGAGGCGGTTCACCCAGATATCTCTCTTTGTTGCGTAAGATGGGATCCGAACATCCCTTGGATGGTTTCAAGCAGGGCGCTGGCAGGAACCCTGGGGAGCCCAGTGGACCCTTTCTGTGTGTGAAGGAAGCCAGGGAAAGGATGTAGTTGCAAATGTTCAGACCTACCGCGTCAAGAGATTCATCTTTGGAATCCCCTGGGGCAAGCCGCCAGTTCGTGATCTTGATTCAACGGCTGCAAACAAACCGCAGCAAGTGGACAGGTGTCTGCTTGCGAGGACAAATTCGTGCCTCAGAATTTTCACAGGTGCTTCTTTACTTTCGCCCATGCCATATATTTGTTCTGCCATGCAAATGAACAACAGGGACCGAACAAGGGCGGGGCTTGTCACAGGCGACCCCTCAAAAAGAGACTCATGTTTCTTTGGGTCCCCCGGTAATTTGCCAGAGATAAAGTCAGTGGGGGGAAGTGTGCAACTCCACCATCCTTTGGAAGATCCCTGAGGCTCACCCAGGTCCTCAGGTAGGTACCTACTTCGAGCCATTGACGTGGCACTCCGCGTTTCATGGCCGGACCCTGGTGCCGACTTTGTTTGCACATGGCGTACCTGTTTGTGTAAGAAACCTAAGGGACATTTCTTCCTTTGGTTAAGCCCAAACCTTGGATGGGTGTTTGGGCCCATTTCTCGTAGAACTTCCCGCTGGTTTCTATGAAAAGCTTCGGCTGCACCCAACAAAAACCGAGCGGATGCCATGGGCCCTTTGCTTGGGGGTGCTGCAGGTCAATATGGCTGTGGCTCAAAATTCCATGGGAGGGGCAAACCGCAGGCTTTGGTCCATGTTTCCACTTGCCAGGGTTCGATTTTGGAATTCCGGTTTTTTGGAGCCACAGCTATATGTTCGGGGGGTCGGATCCTAGGTGGGCCAACGGCAGCTGCTTTGCTTTGCGCGCGCCATGCTACGCAAGGACAGACACGTGGCGCGAAGGGGTTGTCTTTGGGGACCACTCCAAAATTTGTGGTTTTCTTGTGGTTTCCCGCCAAAACAGCCCCAAAACAGGCACTCAAGCCCAGTTTGGCGCGGCAATTTGTGTCGGCGAGTGGACGGTTCAATGGTTGACATTCAGCAGTGCTTGGCCTGTGAAAATAGGTGTGCCCCCCAAATTTGTGGGACCAGGGAAAAGTCATGGGGTTAGCATCTGAAAGAGCCCTTTTGTTTCAACCCATTTACGGGTCACTCAATCCATGCTGCACTCAGTTTGTGGGGGGGTCTTTTTGTGGTTCCCTTTTCCTTTTCAACATTGTTTTGAACAACCAAGCAGAAACCAATCCATTTTGGAGGGTTGCCCTTGGAGACAAACCATTGGACCATGCCTCTCTCCTCGATTGCGCATCCTCCGGCTGCCTCAGTCGCGGGTGGTCCTCTTGGACGAGGCGACAGCCAACATCGACGCGCTCACGGATGAGAAGCTGCAGCAGACGAGCCTCGGCTCACTTCCATTGGCTGTACCAACAATGGTTCCATTTACCAAGCTGTCATTTTGGTACATTTGTTCGAGCCACTGCCATGTAACAACAAGGGGACTCAGCAGATTTTCCAATGGTCCTTTGAAAATCCATGTGCTTAAGAATGTTTTGTTTATGTTCCCTTCATAGTTTCAAAAGGAAATTATCACTACTGAAGATATGTTTTCCGGGTAACCAAATGTAAGCTCAAGCTGTCCAGCAAGCCGGTGGTTTAGGGCACGCGAACTTCTCGGCTTGGGCTGCTTGCACTTTTGGAAAGTGAACAAAGTTCTGCAGCAGTTGCTATAGGTGGAGTATCTCAGCATTCATGGTTTGGTCATCTTATCTCATACCGACTGCAGGATTTGTCCAGTTTTCGCCCAGGGTCTCGTCCAAACATATTGCATATTTAGGGTCCACTTGTAGGCCAAATGTGAAGAATAATCTGATTGGAATATGCGAGTGTCCTAAATAAGGGACCCACCAAATTGCTAGTTTCCTGTTTGTTTCCCTTTAAAGCCACTCCAAAAATGGTACCCTTAAAAAAAAAGGACCATATGTTTCTTCTGCATAGATGCCAAGTTCAAGGGTTACTTGCTGGTTCTCAGCAGGGAATGGGGAATGACCCCTATAGATCATCCCCATGGTCTCCTTTCAGGGAATCCCAAAAAATTGTTCATTACCAACACCCGGACTCATTGTCATTCCCTACCTGCCTGTGGCACCAGCAAGGTTTGGGATGGCGCAAACTGCAAGGCGCCATAGGTATCCTTTCAGGTTAGTTTGATTGGAAATAGATTGCACTGGTTTAACATTGGTTTTGTTACATATACCCTCCCACCGATTAGCATGGAACCTGGGGGGCCCCTGTAAAAGAAGAATGGCACCACGCCCATCTAATTTTACCAAAAGGACACCGATGGACGAAATCCTGCACCACCCTTCAGAAACCCTGGTTTCCGATGATTCCCAAACACCAACAAACATTGGTTTCAACCATGGCTTCTGAGGTGGTGCGAAATAGATTTCGCAACCATCCGGAATCCGCGGTGTGTGCAAGTTGCGCGTCCGAGGCTGCGGACCTGTTTCCAGGGCTCCACGCTGCTGGTCATTGCGCATCGCCTGCCTCCCGGCCAACAAAAGGACTAGCCCCCACCCCCTCTTACTGAGTTCATGGACGTGTTTTGGGCCATCCACTCAGGAAGTGAGCTGTGCAGTTCATGGACTTCTTTTTTTTTGGGCTATCCACTCAGGTGAGCTGTGTTTTGACGGTTTTCCGTTTTGGTTGGTTGGTTAGGAAGCCAAAGAAAAACCATCGGGGTTGGATCCCGATCTGGACTTGGGGAAGGGACAACGGACAACTCCAAACCGCAGGCAACTCCCGAAAGCGTGCCTCAAGGCGGGTTGCTTGAGGTTTGTCCCAAATTGTTTTTTCCCACCCTCCGCGAAACACAGCCTAGTTCTATATTTCTAGTTTTCCAATTCACCTCCCCCCCCCAAGAAAAAAGAAGAAGAAACAAAAACAACTTTTTCCATCTTCTCCCCCCCCCCCCGCCCAAACAAAGAAGGACAGAACAAAAAGAAATACACAAATTGAAAAGACACCAAGCCACGGCTGCAAAGTCTGGCCAGCTCTCCCCCCCCCCGGCCGATTCGAGGTCCACAGTGGCGGACTCGGATTTGTTGGTCTGCCTGGACCATGGCTCCGCGGTGGAGGTGGGAAGCCCCCAGGCGGGGTTTCGTTGGCCGAAAACCGGGATGTGGGAAGCCAAGTCTGGGGCGCTTCCATTTGGCTGAAAAGCGTGTTTTTGTCTTTGAATGTGCATTTCACCTTGTTGGTTTGAAAGGGGGATCGGTTTCATGACTAGAATAATCTTGTATTTTTTCAGGGGGCGGACAGCAAACGGGAAGGGGACCAGTTGATTTGTTCACCACAAATGCTTGTTTTTCGCCCATCAACTCAGGCGAGTTGTGAGCTTTGGCGGGGAAGGACATGTACTGTTCCAGGTGGGTCAAAACCGTTGCAGGGCCTTCCGTGTGACTTTGATCAGCTTCCCAATTTCTGCTCAGTTTGGAGGTGTTCCCTGCCAGGGGCCCAGGGGTTCAATTGCCCAAACCGGCGGGCTCCAAACCACCGAAGGGTTCCTTTGATGTCATTCTCTCCTGGCGATCACTACTGGGCCACTGGAACTATGTAAATTATTGTTCAGGGGACTTAAGCAAGTTGAAGTTCGTAAGGGCCCAACAATAGTAATGATGATAGTAGCCTGACTGGTTGGGTGGTGGTATTTGTGTTTGCCTTGCTAAATTAGGTTTGAAAGCCAACCGTAGGGAAATCCCTTTTGGGGAACAATGTGAACATCACAAGTAAATCTCACTCCCTGCGTTCTTGGACTTCATCCATTCTATGAAAACCATTTTGGCAAACAACAAGTCTGGACTTTTTTTGAGGAACTGAGCTGAACAGACATTCCCTGCCCCCCTAAAGCGGAACCAGGACACGGTTTAAACAAGAATTTGTTCAAGCATGCTTGACAGGGTTCCCTATATTATATTTCCTCCAGTGGTTTTCGGATGTTGGCAAATTGACCGTGTCTTTGCTTTTGGGGTGGTGTCCAACGCAAACATATTGTGGCTGGACTGCGCCAGTTGGGACGGATAAAGCCCAGTACGACCAGCCAACCGGCCATTTGGTGCCGGCATGGAGTTCATCCGGCTGTCAACCTCGGACTCCGGACCCATTCAAAGGAAACACGAAGATGAAACTGCCTTGCCCCCATTTAACATGGAACCTTGGACCCCCTGTCAGGTTCGAACGTTCCATGTCAATTGGTGGTAAGGTAGTTTTCTTTCTGAAGGAGAAGCACATCTGATTCTCACTTGCCCAAGTGTTTGACCTTTTCACCTTTCAGTTTCCCCTTTTTGGCAACCAGTTTTAGTGAAGACTCCGTGTGTCCTGTTTCGTCGCAGGAGCTGAGGAGCGCCAATGGCCTCGTGGCCAAGATGTTCACGGATGCAGGCCGGCTTGGCCCAGCTTGACCCCACAAAAAGCAGTGCTGGGTTGGATCATGCTAGAGTAGACTTTTGGATACATTTTTACATTTTACCAGTGACTCAAAGGGAAGCAGACAGTAGAATATACATTCTATAGTTGGGCCGAAGTTACATCATGAAGGGAAGCCCTAAGGAATCATCATAGGGGTTCACCAGTTTCCTCTAAAAGGGATCCTTTGGCAGGCTCCGTGCGCCTGCAAATGTTATAATGATTCCGAGATCTGAAAAGGGATCACCAAGTAAAGGAGCTTTACCACCAGCTCGTTTTACCCCCGAATCGCTGAGCAGGCAGGCAATATTAGTGCACAGGGTAACTTTTTTGCAGGGGCAAAGGGTGGTTTGGTTTGGCTGGTGGGAAAACCCTAATCGCCCTCTACAAGAAGGGGTTCAAATCCAAATCCAAAACAGCGGGCTCCAAATCGCTATGAAAGAAAGTGAATACCACCACCAACATAGAAGCTAACTGGAGCTCTAGTGGCATGTTTGACGGCCCGACCTTCCATATGGAAACTGTTTCTCATGCTCTCTTTTTTCCCGGATCGAGTCAGGTTTGGTGGCGCATCAAAAGTTTGAGAACTGTTTGGAATTTGGTGGTTTGGGGCAACGCTCCCAAACCAACCCAAAACTAGACCAAAACTCTATGAACCACACCCTAAAGCAACTCTAAAGCCGCTGCTAAACCAGCAGCACACCTAACACAAATCAGCTCCAAGCCACCCCAAACCCACTCAAAGTCAACCCAACTGCCACCCCATCAGAGCCAATAGGCAACCCCAGGTCCCAAGTGATGTTGGTGATGCCGGGGATGCGGCCAGCCAGCCAACCAACCAACCAACCAACCAACCCACCAACCAACCCACCAATCACAGCCAGGGTTAGGAAAAAACCAGGGTGAAACAGAAAAAACAAGTTGGTACCAACTTATTCTAACCTCTCTTTTGGAGGACCTAGGAGCTGTTTGGCCGATGCGCGGAAGTTGAGATTCGCCTTTGAAGGGACCTCTTGAGGCGAGCCGGCGGCTGAGCCTGCGGACACGATGCTCAGCGTCTGAGTCCTGCGCGGGGGATTTCTCAAACGGGATGGTTGCGAATTCCATTTCGCTCCACCTAAGGTTCCCTGGAATGATGAGATTCCCCAACGTAAATACCAACAAACATCGGTTTCCCATGATTTCAATTTGGTGGATCCACCAAGAAGACGCAAGCTGATCTCTCCCTACTGTGGATGGAGAAAATCCTGCACCACTTTGAAACCAGGGAAACCTTGCTTGTTGGTATTTATGGGGGGGTCGAATCATTCAGGGTTTCTTAGATGCGAAATGGATTTCGTCCATACACAGCATGTTGACCAAAAAACCCAATTTTGCCAACCCGTTTCCACCAAGTCGGGTAAGCGTCACTCTGCCACAAGAAAACCTTTGGGGGGCATTTTGGAGGACAGGTCCTCTTTTTTTCTTGTGAGGTGTGCGCTTCCCACACCCGAACTAAACGCATGTGTGAGAACCCATGGGTTACCCGTGAAAAACAATGTGGATTTCATTTCGTCGCCGTTGCCCCGTTTGGAAGTCGCCGCGTTTTTCAGACATGCGCGCGCGCTCGTGCCGCTCGTGCAGACCCAGGCACGGGAGAGGCCCTTCCATTTGCTGATTTTGCGTCTTCTACATTTTCCCCAGGCGGTTTTGGACGTTTGCCCCAAAATTGCGTGTAAAAAGAAACTCCTGACTAGACATCACTGGCCTGCTTTTCATGACTGGCCGAACAAAAAATGACTTTTTCAGTGGTACCGAGTGCAGCAACTGGAGGACCCGAACTCGCCGCAATGGCGTTTGCCATGGGTCTTGATGGGCCCGAGGAAAATGGAAGCTCCGCGAAGCCAAGAAGCCGAAAAGAAGCCGAGAAGCCGAACATTAGCAGTCACCAGCCTGCAGGTTCAACGAATTTTCGGATCAGTTCTTCCCCAGAATTTGCGCCTTGTTGATTGTTTGCAGGTTTGGGGTCCTTTTTGTTTTCCACGAAAACCAGGCGAATGTATGGTTTCTTGCTGCCAAGAGTTGTCCTCAACGCGAGTTCGGGAATGAGCTGTTCTCAACATGGTGAAGGGTTTACCCTCGATGCCCAGGTCCGGGGGGGGGGGGAGGTTAGGGGCAGAAAGACCCTAGGGTCCCGACAATACTTATCTATTGAGTTGGCTTTTTTTTTCTGTTTTTTTGTTTTTGTTTTTTGGTTGGGGCCCTCAAAAAGCTTGGGATGTGCGTGGCCGAAAGTTTTGGCCATGAGGAGTTAGAGGCACAGGTGACCTTGGCTTGGAGCGAAGCTCCCATGGCGGACTGACTAGCATCCAGGCGTTGCCTAGCGCCGGGGCCTGTGAGCCGCGAAGAAAATTGCAGGTTGCTTCAGGATTACTTACCTCCCCTCTGTGATTTGCTGCTTTTTTGGGGTCCCATTTAGGGTGTGGGTCAAAATTAAACCACCATGGGACCACAGGTTTAATCCATGTTTCCATTTACCAGGGTTCCTATTTTGGGCACGTATTTTTGACCCACGGCCATTTGTTTTCCACGAACCGGGCAAAACATAAAAAGTGGTTTGCTGGGGTCCTAATTACTTTGAGCGTCAGGGACTCCCCGTTTTGAATCACAGGGCTTTGAGCACTCCAATCACAGGTGTCACAATCAAAACCCGGGTAAGCGAAGGCTAGTAAGGGACAATCCCAAAAAAATCAAACAGCTGCGGAGTTCCGCCTTCTTAATTCGTGAAGCATGGCTCTGGGTCGACCATCTTCATACCGGGTTTCGCCTTTCCGGCGGCTGCTTGGGCCGCGACTCGGCGTTTGCCGCGATCTCCGGGAGCTCGAACTGCCGTCTCCGCGAAGGCGGAGGTCAGTTCGCATGTCGCGCCCGGTGCATTTGGCGAGCCCCAAAAAGCGGCGGAGCTAGGGAGGCGGCAACGAATTCTTATTTGCCACATATCTATATAGATCCTGTCAATTGTGCTCAGCGCATGTGTTACACATAATTATCTTCTTTGTATCTATAACCCGATACTTGTGGAGTCGGCATATGTCACGAAAATCCATGGCTCCTTTTCAAAAGGAGCCGCTTGAAGAGGGCTTCTGCACTTGTTTGTGAGTCAAAAACCACAGAAAGGCAAAGGGCAGGGGGAGCAAGTGGCAGTCAGGCCGGCCAGGGCCTTTGAAAGGGTTCGTGAGCGTGGCTCTGGTGACCACCTTCCTTTTTTTTTGCGCGACCGCCATGGTCGTCACCCGGCTCTCTTTCCAACACCCATGGAAGTGGACAAAGGGCTTCCCCAAAAGGAACCCACTCTTTCAAAACTGATCGTCTTAGCTTCCATGGTGGTTGGAGCGGTAAACGTACTTCGTCTCACTTCCTGAGTTCCTGGACTACTTTTTGGGAAGACCAGGTTAGTAGTCAATACAAAGTTTTGCCTTTCTTTTTTTTGGCCATCCCTCAACAGATCTTATGGCGCCCTGTGTAGCCTCAGTTCTTGCAGCTTCGCACCGTGCCCCGCTTTCTTGGTTGCAGGCGGCCGGGTCAGGGGCCTGGCCTGGCTGCTGAGGCGGGTGCGGCCTGGCCCTGGTTTTTTCTTCGTTTGCCCAGGGAACCAAAGGGTGGACACTTAGTTTTTCCGGAGCCCGTGGCACCCAGTTTGACTAGCTGGTGGTGAGAAGGGAGCCGTTGCGGAGCTGGGACCCGGTATCCAAGTTTGCATTGAAAGAGGGAGCCTTGCAGAGGTACCGATCGGAGTCCGGCAAGGAGATAGTAGTTGACTTGGCTTTCAAAAGGAAAATCAGGAGCCTGCCCCATGTGTGCTGCTGTCATTTGGCGCCTCAAGCCATTCGCTGGCTCTCCAAAGTGAATCGACCCTTGGCATTCAGCTTGGGTTGAGCATCGCCATGTTTCCACATAGCCAACCTTGCCGCTCCGAAACTCAGGTAAGGCCCTTTTGGCTGCAAGGGAAGCAATGGCAAACCCAGGATACAGGGCCTCCTGGTAGAATGAGGAGCTTCTTGGTGGGCCCTTCTTGTCTCATGTGAGATGCCCTGCGCAGCGGGCCGGCACATCCCATCTCTTCTTGCCACGCAGGCTATTGAACCAAAGCAGTTGGTGGCAATGAATACCCAGGCCCAAAAGCTATTTGAACCGGAATAAATCCCATGCCATAGTAGTTGGCCATAGATTCCCATGCCATGAATACCCAAAGTTTGCCCATGTCCACCAAAGCTAATTGAGCTTTCCGCGGGGCCGCTCTGATGGAGCGACGGCTCGCGCCTGGCCGTGCCATGAGGCCGGGCACTGAAGAAGCACGAAGGTGGCTGAGGATTTTCTTGGAACAGGTCTTGACTGCTATTGGGCAACGGATCTTTAGAGGTGTTTTCTACCAAACCCCCAAAAAGTGGTCCACTTTTTGCAGGGTCGTTGCAACCAGGTTGTGTCACTAGCTTGGACCGGAGCCATGCGACCGTGCCTAAGAGGGAGCCTGGCGGAGCGACCGAGTCCTGTGACATAGTCAAATTGAGTTCTTGATCCGGATGGCTCAGGCAAAAGTGGCTCCCCTGGCTCCAAAAATTGCGGATAAATCACCCTCAGAGGTTGAAGCATCACGTCGTAGCGTTTTGAGAAGCGCAATAGAAACAGAGAAATGCCCGGAACATGGTTATTGTTGGGAAGCATTTTACATTTTTGCTGATTGTGGTTTAGTGGTTGAAATCCCCGCTTAAACTTTTGCTCCCCTTCCACCGTCAAGCAAGGGAAAGAATTCCAAACGGGATGAATAAAGCCAGCAGTTTCATTCTGATACACACAAGCCGTAGGTGCCGAAAGTCACAAGCTTACAGGTAACTTCGGTGAAGCCCCTCAAATACTTCAATCTTCGGAAGGCGCATCTTGCAGTCTATCCACAGCTTGGTTTCCTACCGGCCGGATTTTGTTGCGGAGGTGAATCTTCCAATGGGCTGCGTGAAGTGGATTCTGCAGCTCCTCGCAGTGCGGCCTCGCTGCATGAGAGCCCGAACGGTCCCAATTCTTCTTGGCCCCTGGAAGTTAACATGGAACCTGTGTTTTGTTCACGTGTTGTTTCATCATGTGGCAAAACGGCCGAATGGCCGTTTGGCTCAAGTTTTGGGAACTCCCGTCAAGTTCCCCTCGGGTTCACGCGCGAACGCCATACCCTGGCATTGCTCTTCGTCAGCGCAAAAGGCTTTGCGGTGCCGCGGTGCTCTGGGGGTAGGAGGTGTTCGGTGGGCCGTCGAGGTGTCCTTGGGCCTGTCCCTCAAAGCTACTATTTGCAACCATATTCTAACACTCCCAAACCTGATCTTCTTCAACTGTCACTCCCACAATCTGGTCACCGGCACCTTCTACATTGTGCTTTGGGACTGGGTTCTTTTGGTATTTCGTGAACCACGTGTACCTCTTTGATTCCCTGGGCTACTTCGTGTTCGCCCAAAACCGCAGGTTATCAGCCGTAACAGCTAGAAGCTGGGGCTGGTGATCCGGTTGCGGGACGTGACCCGCTACCTGCTCCCATCGCCTACTTGTACGAGCAATGGCGTCCCCCGGAGCTTCACATCGTGGGCCGGGCTTCGTGGACGACGAGGCCAACGCCCTTCGCGGCAACGCCACGCCTGCTGCCCCCGGCTTAGACAGCCGGCTGTGGCCCATTCCCCCGATGGTGGGCGCAGAGCCCAATCCCGGGGTGATCACGGACGATTGGATCCTTTCTCAGGTCGTGTTTGATGAGCAGTGCTCCAGATCGAGGACGGACCCCCTCTAGAAGAGGCTGAGGTTCCTCCAAATCAGGTGCCCTCATCGATTTCGCCTACTGTTCCGTTCGTGGCGCTCCAGATCGAGGACCGGGCTGTCCATCGTGCTGCTCATCCGGAGCCGGCTCAATCATGGTCCCTTACATGGGATCAGTTTGACCAGCTCCTCGGCAGTGGATCGCAGGCTACACCGCCTGATTTCGGTCGGCTCGACTTTAACTCGGGTGCCCCCATATCGATTGGGAATCTGGATTTTCAATCCCTTTTTGATGCTGATTGGAGGTCTCAGCCTTCCCGAATTGACAGATCTTTTGATGCCCTGCCTACGCATGAGCCTACTCATGAGCCTACTCAGGGTTTTCCTCATGAT